TGTTCTGAAAGGTCGTCTGCTGAATACATGGTTCTAGGTTGGTACCTTCTTTTTCAGCATATAGAACAGCTTTCATTGTCTTCTGCTTCCATGATTTCTCCTGAGAAGTAACCCAGCTACTGGGGCCAGGCCGTCCCCTGGGGGACTTTCAGGTACTCTCTTTGGGTCTTGGTAGCTTTCCTAGTATGCTGGTAGGTGAGGTGCTTTCTGTAGCTCTTCTTGACATTCAGACTTTTTGAATCTGTAGCTCCATGTCTTTGATTACTTTTGGGAAACTCTTGTCAATGTCTCCTGCACCGTTTTCCTTCTCTCCGGCACTCCACATACGCGTGTTACATTTGTTCTGTACCCTCTATTTCTCTCTCTTTTTTTTGGGTACTGGGGATTGAACTCAGGGGTACTTGGCCGCTGAACCACATCCCCAGACCTATTTTGTATTTTATGTAGAGACTGGGTCTCACAGAGTTGCTGAGGCTGGCTTTGAACTCATGATTCTCCTGCCTCAGCCTCCTGAGCCACTGGGATGATAGGCGTGTGCCATCATACCTGGCTCATCTATTGTCTTGAAGGCACAATCACATTTAAAAGTCTGAAATCAATACCTGGATCAACTGGGTGTCTTCTTCCAGTTACCAATCCCTTGGTACTGTCTCTGGCATCTCAGTAACTTATTTAACACCAACATTGTGTATGGAGAGTGAGGCAGGCTTCAAGTGGTTATTTTTCTTGGGAAATGTGCTTCTTCTCGTAGGTGAGACAGCTCTTTTTCTGGTTTGTTCTTCCTCCTGCACGTTTCACCCACATCTTGGGATGTCTGCCACAATCCTTCCACCACCAGCTGCTGTTTGTGCTCTCAGCCTGGTCCCCTGCTGCCCTGCCCAGCTCAGGAACCTCAAGGCCCGCAGGGATGCCAGTGAGGCCAGGCCCACTCCCCACTGGTCCGTCCCCTTCCTCTAGCTTCTTGACTCTCGGGTCTTGGCTTCTTTCTTGGCCCTTAGTGCCCGTGTTCACCTTCCCAGCACCGAAAGGCCGGCTTCTGCTCGGCCTCAAGTCACTTAGTTAGCAAAGGGGCCTTGGCAGGCAGGTGCCCTTCAAGGGGTCCTCTCTCTGGGTTGTTGGCCCTGAGGACCGGCAGCCTTGTGCACTCTCAAGTGGCTCCAGTTTTGAAAGGCTCACAGCTTTTTTTTGGAGTCCAGGGTTTATTGTGGAGAACGTCTGCCTGTAACTGGATGCAGTTGTCCCCACACCCCACGGGGACTTTGACTTCACCTCCTGCTTTGTCTGATGGCCTCGTCTTTTTGTTGCACTGGGCCAACACAGACCCCCATATCTAGGGGACACAGTCCACTGGGGGGAAGTGGGGTTTGCTCATGGACAGGCCAACCCAGGCTGGATGCCAGAAGAGGCTGAAGCAAGCACGCGGAGGCTCTTGCTCCCACACTCTTTTTAATGTAGGTCTGCTGGTGTTGGGATCAGTTCTCATTTTTCTGAAAGCATTTTTGTTTTGAAAGGTTGTCTGCTGAATACATCGTCGAGTACTCCAGGTCTACTGCAAAGTACTCGTTCTCTGGTCATCCTGTGAAGGGAACATGTTCATCTTAACAATATTTTTGTTTTAATTTTTAGTTATAGATGGACATGATATTTTTATTTGCTTATTTACTTTTATGTGGTGCTGAGGATGGAACCCAGCGCCGCACATGTGCGAGGCAAGCGCTCTGCCTCTGAGCATAGCCCCAGACCCAGTATTTGTTTTTCTCTTGGCCACATCTGCCTCCTAAAGAAACTAAGGTGTAAACTTTATCTAGTAAAGCACATGCATTTTAGGTATAGAGCAAGACATGCAGACTTCCTCCCCGACTTCCCACGCCCCTCACCGACCCCACCTGTGGTGTGAACAGGGTGCTGACCCCCCAGAGAGAGAAGGAGGGCAGGATGAACCCATGGCCGTGGGAGGTGACTAAAATCAGATTAGGTCACCAGGGTTGATCCAACACAATGGAATCCGATGGTCTCTGGAGAAGAGAGACTGGAAAACACACACACACACACACACACACACACACACGCTCCTGGCCTCTGCCCACGTGATGCCCGTGGGCAGTGCACCGAGCGGTGGAGGCGCTGCCAGGGCACAGTGCTCGACGAGTACTCCAGGTCTCCTGCAAACTACCCTCCAAGTGGCTGAGAAAGCAAAGGAGTAAAAACTCAGCAGAAGCAAAGGAGCTAATGAGAAATACGTCAAGAGAAGGATTCGCAGGACCAACTCGCGACACTGAGGGTGACATGGAGCTAGGATGACGGCTGTAGTGTCTCCACTTGTCTAGGAGGAAAGGGTCCTTCAGTAGCACAGGGGCTCTAAGGTCACTCTGTTGACCCCAGTGCCCACGTTAGCATGGGATTGACTTATAGATGGAGCCCCCCTAAACAGGGTGGCACCATGACAGTTCCAGAGGGGACCAGCTAGGGTCAAAACTCCTCCTCCCAACATGAAGGAGTTGAACACCTGATGGGCAGAGTACACAAGGTGGTCCCAGCTCTCCTGCTAAGCATCGAACAGTAACCAAGTTGGACACAGCGTCATCCCCTCTGTCCTTCTCTGAGTGGAGACGGCCCACCCTGCTGAAGTCTCACTTTACTTTCACTCATAATAAAGTTTTTCTTGCATGGCTTTTGGTGTCTGACTTTAGATTTTCTTTCCCTGGAACACAAGAACAGAGGTTTCAGCTCCCCACTTTCCCGTGTGTGACATTGGGACTCTGCCAGCAAGACCATCCTGGTCAGATGTGGCCCTCCACATCTTGGATCTGATCTGAGAGCCCAAATAAACCTGTTCTTTGTAACTTGGTCAGTAACAATGTTATTCACAACAGAAAACCAAGAAGTCACCTCCTTCTTCCCCTCCAGAAGACACTTCTCATTTCTGCCCTGAGATTCCCCCGGCCATCCCAAAGCCCTTTGTACAGACAGAGGTGTCCTATGTGTCCTTCGTCTCTCACAAACACTGAGATGTACAAACCCAGACGTGCACACACTGCTGTCTCCGTCAGTTCATTCCCACTTACTCCCTAGTACAATTCCAGCATGTGCCTAATCTGTGATCCACTTTCTAGCTGAACAGTTTATTTTTTTGATGAATCAAGCAAATATAAATACACTTGTACAGAGGGTATCAGTGGAGCTCCTTTGTTATGGGAATGTCTAGAGTCGCCGAGTTACAATGCAGCAACCTGCCTGATTCAAGGGGCCAGAAAACCGACAGGAGACTGACTTGCTCAACAGCTCCCCCTGGTGGCAGGCCGCATCACAGGGCGTGAGAGGTACATGCCCATGGCTGCAGGTTCTCATCAGTGTGGTGTCAGTGCTTTAGGCGGAGCCACTTAGCCAGAGGGGGTGGCACCTGCGTAGGGTTCTAAGTGGCACTGTCCAGGGACGGGATGAAAGCCCTGAAGTTCTTACTGGCCACTCGGGTGGCCTCTTCTTCATGGATGGTGTGCCCAAGTCTCTCGCAAAGTGTGAAGTGGGGATTCTGCTCTCTCTCCTCTGTCAGGAGCACACGCGTCTATTGGCACGGCCTGTTTTGCAGGCCAGAGTCCTCACTTCAGTGGAGGCCAAACGCCTCCCTTCTGAGGCTTGTGATCCGTGTCCTGAGACAGCTTTGCCCTTCCAAAGGGTGGGTGTTTTCCCCTTGAAGCTTGTCCCAGGTGCTGGTTTGGATTGACTTTTGTAGGTGGCGTGCAGTGACAGCCAGATTCATCTTTCCACCTCAGGTGGAGGGCCGGATATGGCATGTGGGATACAGGTGACCTCAAAGCAGGACAGCCATCAAATCCTGGACCGGAGTGAAAGCACCCGATGTTTCTGGAGGTGGAGGTTTGGAATAAAATGACAGGATCAAGGTGGGTATTCAAAGGCCAACAGGTGACGATCGGGGGCTGGGGCGTTAACAGTGAACTTCTATTGTACATTCCCTCTGAGAACGACTCTGAGTCCATGGCAGAGAAAGCAGCAGAGGCCGCAGCTAACCTGCCCAGGTCCCCGCCAACTGCCTGAGGCAGGCTGCAGTGTCCAGGTGTGCAGGGCAATGTGCCCAGGGGGTGGCAGTGCAGGGGACCGGCCAAGGCCAGCGCCAGCCAGGGGCGACACTTTCCTCTGCACTGAGTCGCCACAGCGCTCTTCATGGGCCGGAGAGCGCCCTGAGCACCTGTGGGTCACAGCTGCAGCAGCACCGCTCCTCCCCCATGGCAGCTTAGGAGCGTGGGGAGGGTGATGGCAACCCACTGAAGCCCAGCAGGGTTCTCTCCCTGCAGCCCACACCGTCTGGTCATAAAGCCCACACAAGGCACAAGAGAAGAGCTCTAGAAAAAGAATCAGGCTTTATTTCTGTCATTTTTAACACAGGTATTGTAGACACGTTAGTCTCGCAGTCCCGATGGCCAACACACAGAACCCAGGGAGAAACTGAAGGAGCGGGAGCTCGCTGCCGCCCTGGGCTGGCTGCCGGGACCCCGCAGGCCCGGCTCCTCTGGCCTACCCCTTCCCAGCACCTAAGATGAGCAGACCCGACCACCATCCTGTGCTCCTTCCCTAGCAGGAAGTGGGATGGAAGGACACTGTATGACCTCGGGAGGCATGGAGAAGCCAACTAAACCCAGCTGTGGGGCCGTGAGCGCCACCAACAGGGCCAAAGCCTGGCTGGGGCAATCCCGAGGTCCTGGGCCACATCAGCAAGGCATCCCTGAGGTAAGCGGAAGGAGCCCCGTCCGCTGCTGGTGCCGGGCTCCAGAGAACACAGGAGGGCAGTCTCCCCCAAGAGCAGCTCCCAGAGAAAGAGGTTCCTGGGGTGGAGTGCCCGGGCCACGCCAGCAGCCCCCACACCCCCATGACCAGCCCAGGGCTTCCGGCTGACCCCGTCCTGGGTGTGCTAGGCATGCCTTGGAAACCTCAGGAGGAGTTTCCACACTATTGAAAATGAAAAGCAAATAAGGAATAAGGCATCAGACATTTGATTCTTTTATTTCCGTATGCAATGTAATGTTTAGGCACGCTGCTTGGGATGCTGTTTCTAAAAAATCTGTTGGCCATTTTTCAGAATATCCTTTTGGTTTTAAATACTGGTCAGGAAAAACAAATGATGTAAAAATACGTGAATAATTTTCTATTACAGAAATGAAAAACTGATTTGCATCTAAAAGTGCAAGAGGTGAAGTGATTTAACCCTTTCACCAGACGATATGGCAATATACAGTATATTGCTTCAGCTGTTGGAGAAGGCTGTGACGTATTTTTATATTGACATAGAAAATTATAAATTACATTGAATTAGTATCCATAATCACTATATATATACACAAACCAGTTCTAAAAAAATACACTGGTTTAGAATTTTACGAGTGAAAACCTCACAAGGTACAGTAAAACAGGTAACATGCGCAGGTGCCGGATTGAGTTCTATTTTTAAAACACTAGCCTGTGAAATGACGCACTCGAACTCCATTAGCAGCACGAGCATTTTCAACGGACTCGCCTAACATGACTTAAGTGTGTTAAATATGCAGATTGCTCTGAAATGGTCATTGGTGATGCTTGTTAACAAGGTCAATTTTGGTGAATGGGTTAAAAGGCAGATGAACTACCAAACAAAACAAAAACAAACCCCCCTCCAGAAAAAAAAAAAAAAAAAACAAACCCAAACCACAGCCATGTACACTCCGAGGACTCTAGTGCTTTTCCTGTAGGAGATCATCTCAAGCAACAAGACTTCAACAGAACATATGGCTTCACAAGAACATCGGTTTATCAACTAAGCCGCAGCAATAAATACTTAATCTCTACCAATAGACTTACATTTTTGATCCATTTTAAACAATACAGAAAACAATTACCAATCAAAAACTGGTTATAAAAAGAACACCAAATATTTCTTATTCAAAATCACTTTTGTAAGTTAGAACAACCAAAATAACACCTAGAGGGATTTCAATTCCATAGCTCCTTGCCAACCTGGAAGAAAAGGAATCAGAATTTTGTACAAGGTGAAAAATATATGAAAACTGCCTAATACTTTGGTCACACTAATAATTGTCAAATAGTTATGTTTCAAATACAATAGATCTGTGTATTCACTTTTATAAAACTATTCTTACAGCCATTTAACTAGAGTAGTACTGCTATCACCACAGGGCAGCAAGGTCTCATCTCACAGGCTACCCATTATTTAGAACAATACAATATAAACATATGCAGACATTCTTGGTATTTGTCAATGTGCAATATTTTTACACTTCTGAATTTCTCTGTACAATGTCTTAGAATCTAGAATATAAAGGTTGCTGGTCCTGATCCCTTGCAGAGTGAGTGCAGCAGTGACGGCTTGGTGGCTCCAGAGGACCCCTCCAGAGCCCCTGGGTGGTGGCAGTCTGCAGTCCTCAGTCAGCAGCAGCAGACGCTACCCATCATACAGGGCCATTGACTGACGTGTCACCTGGCACACTTGGCTGGTCACTCCTGCAGAGTAAGAGACAGGCATCTGAGGCATGTGAAGCAGAAATGGGAGGAAGTGAGCCTGGTTTAGTTCTGAGGGTGGGGAGTGCATCTAAGCAGGGCCTCAAGAGCCCACGGAGCTGCCCTCCTCCACTTCTCAGGACCACCGGCACATGCGGGTGGAGGGTCCTAAACCGCTGCCCCCAGAGCCCACGGGAGCTCTCTGTTCATTCCTCCTCCAAAAAGCATTTATCTGTTCCACAGAGTGGAACTCCGCAGGGTTCGCAATGGCAAAGAAAAATAAAAGGAGAGAGGGAAAAAAGTTTGTAAACAGAACAATCTGTTACAACACACGGACAACACATTCCCACAGAGCAAATGTCAGCTTCAAAACTGGGAAGCAAGAAGTGGGACAGTGTGTGAAAGTGGTGGCTGAAGATCCGAGTTTGCAAAATCACAAAATGGAGGGGCAGGCTCTCTAGGGCTCTTCCCAAGTTAAGGAAGTAGACTTGGGAAGGATGCTGAGAGCGGCAAAACTGGTACACAGGCACTTCCAGCCAGCCCTGAGGTCTCAGCTGGCAGACTCCAGCCCTGTGGCCTGTGGGCACAGGAGGGACCTTGGGGCCAGCTCCACACACAGCAACAAATCTACTTACAGCCGTGTCATTGCAGAGCCGTCTCATTGACTTACACGTCGTCTCACTGCACCAGACACTGGGTACGTATCCTGCCTTCACCACCCACAAGCCATGTGTTCGTAAGTTTATTTCTTAAACTCTCTCAGTTTTGCTTTCTCCCCCTATCCCACAGGGCTTCACAGGTAGGGAAGTGTGTGAAGCAGCTGGCACACTGCTGGCACGGACACAACAGGCCTGACAAACAGCAGCCAAGCCAGGTCTATGGCAACACATACCCCGGATCCACAGGACCCCAGGACCAGGCTGGGGCAGGGCCCTTCAAACACATGGGAGGCATCGCTGCACTTACCCTCCACCTGTCCTAACGCTGATGCCACTCCCATCTGCTCAGACAGCCCCCTCACCTAGCTGCACTCCTGTCCCCATTCCTGCAGCCAGTGTCCTCCCAGGCACCTGCCTTCTGCCCCAGGCTACTGGTGTCTGTCTGCTCCGGCTTCCCTCCAGCCACCACCATTCCATCTTGTGGTGGATAAAGGATGGATGAATGGACAAACCCAGGGACGCCAGTGTGTCCCCTCCTTCACTAGCTCACCCCAACATTCTCTGCCACCACCTCAGTCCTGTAATTGGAGAGGAGGACTCTTCATACCTGATGTTTCTAGCCAGAGAGAAAAGCAAGCAGGCTGCACTGAAACCAACATTTCTGTATACTGGACAGCCAGGAAATGACCCCATAGCCTCCTGGGCCACTCATGTCAGAGAACCAGGAACAAACTGCCAGGGCCGACCCTAACTATTCTACCTCCCAGAAATTCCTCAATGTAAAGTAAGTTAACAGGTAGAAATTAGAGAGGTGACCAACTGGGAATTAGACTCACAAAAGACCATAAAGCAGAACAGAACAAAACGAGAAAAACAAACAAACAAAAAACCCACTGAACTCTGGGTTTGGTGTCACATGCCAGTAATCCCAGCAGCTTGGGAGGCTGAGGCACGAAGCTGCAAGTTCCAAGCCAGCCTCAGCAACACCCACTCTCCAAAGAAAAATGAAAAGGTCTGGGGATGTAGCTCAGTGGCAAAGTACCTCCTGGATTCAACCCATAGAACCAAAAAGCGGTGGTGGGGTGGGGTGGGGTGGGGTGGGGTGGGAAGGGAAGGGAAGGGAAGAAAGCAAACAAAATCTCCCATAGTCAAAACCCCAGGAAAAAGACTGACTTTCTCTGAACCCTAGAAGAACCTGGGACTGAACCACCCCTAGGGCTGGAGTGTGACCCTGCCTTTTCTTCCCAAAGCCCTCATTAAAGCCATCCTGCTCCAGCAGCTCACGTAATTACCTTTGTATGTAAAAAATTCAGAGGCACAAAAACAAACTTCATTTGGGCTAAAATTTATCCAAGTAGAACAGTAAGAGGGCTTGCCCTGCCCTGAATGCAGAACTGAGGGCGCCCCCTGCTGGCTCCCACTGGTGTGGTCTTAGAATGCCTAGAAAATTTAGGGGCAGCAGGACCAGGGGGAAAGTATGACTCCTTAGAAATTGCTTTAAAGGTCACTTTATTCCTTCTTAAAGGAGGAATATACAATCTTGGATATATGAAATCAAAAGGTTAACTCTGGGATGTGCTAGACACAGCTCCTCGTGGTCCAGGGGATCCTCATTCATCTTCTGGCGCGAGCTCCGGTGCGATCCCAGGCCACCTGGCTCTACCTGTGAGGCCGTGCGAATGGGCCGGACGCTGGCCCTTGGCGGCAGATGCTTTGGCTTGGCCTATTCCTTCAGGCCACTGGCTCAGTCTAAGCAAAAGGTGACTAGAAAGAAAGCATCACATTCCAAATCACATGGCTCTGGCAGTGGGATTTTCACACTTAATCAAGACAAGATCTCTACTTTGAAAAAAACAAGATCACACAGGGATTCACTTAGGGGTGGAGAATAGTAAGGGAAGTCCCCTGCATATCACATGGGCACAAACGTGGGAAACAGTCACCCTGAGCTGTTTGCGCCTGGCGGTTCAGTGACTTTACAGGGGCCACTAAAGCTCCCAGAGGGGCCTGTTATTATTTTCAACTTGGTGCCTCCTGAAAAAGCTGTGTAGCCGGAGCAAGCCTTCCACTCCCAGGAGGTGCCCAAGAGCCAGCTATACTGCCAATCTCTGCGTCCAGGGAGCTCTCGGCCTCGGGTGAGGAGACCAAGTGTTGTTCCCAGGTTCTCTGCTGGGTCACCTGACTAATGAAAGGATTAGTGCCAAGTACACTGCTGAAGGCCTGGGCCTGGCTGTGATGACCCTACAGTCCACAACTAGGTGCCAACCCCTTCCCGACTCCCACAGGACAAGAGCAAGGCCAGGCGGGGCTTGGGAAGAACACAAGGGTGCAGGCAGTACCTCTGCTCTGGGCTACTGCTGGGGGGCCGGGGGGCCGCGCACTTGGCCTCCGCTGGCTCAGGGCTCTCCTCCACTTCTTTACAAGCAGCATCTTGAGAGGTAGACAGTTTTCCTTCCTCACTGCAGGAGAGGAGACACAGGCACATTACACACCTCAGGGACAGTGTCTAGGTGCCAGAGGATGGGGTCACATGCAAATGGCTCTGAAGTCATGACTGCCATGGCGGCAACCCTGGGGCTGAGCATGCTCAGGGTGGGAGGGTCACAGGGACACAGACAGTGACAGGGGAAGCACAACAGGAAAGGGCACACAAAGGTGGGAACCAGGAGAGGGACGATGTAATGTGGCTGGTTCTGACAGAGCGGCCCCGCATCACCGTACATACCGGTAGGATTTCAACACTCTGAAGCCCAGTGTGCAAAACAGAAAAAGAAATGTACAAGAGTTTCAGAATACTCCTAGAAATGAGGGACAGGGGACTACGTCCACACCTGCACTTAACCAAAACCGCAGAGTTGGCGAAGGCTGTCAAGAGAACCTGTTTGAAGGAACGAGTCTTTATTTCAACCTGTGCTCCTGGGCTGAGCCCATCAGTAACAAGCCGCCAGAGGGCGGACCTCCATCTGCTCACTGGCTGGAAACCTTGGTCAGGAGAGGAGGGCACCCTGCTGCCTGAGCCACATTTAAAGACTTCTCAAAGCCTGGCGCAGAGATGCACGCCTGGAATCCCAGCGACACAGGATGCTGAGGCAGGAGGATGGCAAGTTTGAGGCTTGTCTCAGCTACTTAGTGAGACCCTGTCTCAAAATAAAAAATAAAAAAGGTTGGGGGTGTAGCTCAGTGTTATAAAGAGCACCCCTGGTTTCAACCTCCAGTATTGCGGGGGTGAGGGGGAAGAGAGTTGGGAGTTTCCGTCTAACAAAGGGGAAATGTATGAACACTACAAAGGAAAAGCAGGACCCTGAGGAGCTGCTAGTGCAGCTGAAAGCAGACTCCAGGTCCGGGGCTGAGGGGAGTGGGCGGGGAGGATAAGGGTCCCCCCTCAGTGTGGGAAATATGCAGCGGGCCGCTCTGTCAGGGATTCCCATTTTGTACACAATTAAAGTGGCAATAGCTAGAGGTCCCCTTAAGGAAGGGCTGTCATTCTTAACAGCTATGATCTGGATTTGCTTATAAGACACCTAATATTTTAGGATGATTTCTCAGGTAGTTTTCAGATGGTTCCACGTAATTTATAAGTAGAAAAATTAACTGAAATCTAATGATTTGTAACAATCTGAATTACACGGGTCATTACCTCTCTTTTTCGGTGGTGCTGGGGATGGAACCCAGGCCTCACCCATGTTAAACACCTGCTGTACCACGAGTCCCATCCCCAACCCCTGGTTTCTTCTTCTCAAACCTCCTTCTCCACTCCCCTTTGCCCCTTCCTTCTCTATTCCCTGTCCCAGAAGCAACGATTCTAATGTGATTGTAAAATGCATCTTCATTACATGTGTGCATGAGCATATAACCTGCACTGAATCCAACATCTTTTTGTACTTTTCTCTAGACTAAACATGTCTGTAAGTTCCACCTGTTCCTGCCAGGTACAGCCCAGTGCCCACAGTGAGCACCGACCAAAGGGCCTGGCTTCCCAGAGCAATGAGCCCAAAGTGCCCTCTACCTCCAGGCCTCTGAGCCCAGTGCTGTCACTGTCCCTGGCCCCTAACAGGCCTGCTAGGCATTTCTCAGGACTCTGTACCTGGGAATGGAAAACTCTAGTGGAAAAAAAAAAAGCCCTTCTATCTAGAGTGGCCCCCAATTTGCTTTCCCATCAGCAGCCCCCCCACCCCCGGTGGGGTTCAGGGTCCACAGCACCACCTGCTGTCTAGTTTCAGCTGCTCTAGTAGGAAGTGCCACGAGCTGGGCTCTTCTCACGCACATTCTCCGATAATATGTGGTTTTGAGAATCTCTTCATTTTTTTGTCAGTCTTTTTGTTTACTCATTGTAAACTGACATCTTTTACCCATTTTCTGATTTAAGTGTTTTTTTCCTTTTCTTTATTGGCTTGTGGGAATTCCTTGAACACCTAATGTCAGTATCTTGTTGATCAGGTATAAGCCCCTTTCTTCAATTTGCTGTAGCCTCTTTATCTTGTCTAGAGTACTTCATCAACGGAATTCCTTACGTACTTTGTTAGAGTTTCTTTTCTTCCACTAACTACCAGGCAACTTTGGCCACATCACATCGGGAAGAGGCCCAACCTGGGAGGATCTGGCCCCTCTCCTACCACACTGACCCTTGTCCATGTGCATGATGACATCACACCATCTGAACAGCTGGCTGCAGCACAACTCAATGTCTGGAAGGGGGGTCTCCTACTCAACTACTCCTTCTGTATCTAAGCAACTCTGGGATGTTATTTTTCCATGAGGTTTTAGAGTATATTTAACAAGTTTCTTCCCCAAACCCCAGAGATTTTTTTACTGAGATTCCATTAAACATTAAGGCTAATCCGGTGGTGGTGGACGACTCTTCGGCCCTACACTTGTCCCACCGCAGTGTGTACACTACTACCCCCACTTGTCCAAGGAAGCTTCAAGTTTTCTCTACAGAGATCTGGATGAAAATAACTCTTTAATTTATAGACCAATATATTTTGTGGTTATTCTGCTTTTTATTATCCATTCTGGTTGCGTATTACTGATTTAGAAAAAAACAACTGATTTTTAAAACTGACCTTGTAACAGTTCTGCTGAATTAGTAATTACAAAGGTCTGTACTGACTTGGTTGTGGCTCACCATTACACCTGTAAATAACCAGTTTACTACTCCTCTCCTAACCCTCATCTATACCTCTGCCTCCTTCCTTTTCCAGGACTGTTTACACCCTGGCTATGATAAGGGACAGCTTATCACTGGTCTTTATCTCAAAGTGAATGCACCTAAAATCTCTTCATTAAATATAGTTGCTGCTGTGACATTTTGGTATTTAATTTTTACATAGGAAATTCACTGCTGTGACTGGATTGCTCAGAGTTTTAATCATGTATAAATATGAAATCTGAGCAAAAAAGTAATATTTTTTTTAAAGTCTAATGTAAGAAGATTGCAAGGACAGGTTTTTCGGACATGTAATCTCGAACCATCCTTGCCTTCTAGGATAAGCTGCAGCCAATCATTATGAATTATTTGGGATTCAGTCAGTATATCACAACTTATATATCACAACTTTTTTTGCATGGGGCTGATGATGGTGGTGGTACTGGGAATTGAAACCGGGAGTACTTAATTATTGAGTTACACAGCCATATATGTCCCCAGCCCTTTTTATTTTTTTGAGATAGGATCTCACTAAGTTGCTGAGGTTGACCTCAAACTTGCGATCTTCCTCCCTCAGCCTCCTGAGCCACTAGGATTCCAGGTCTGCACCCAGCAATATCTTATACATAACTTCTGCATTTAGTTTGCTTTTAAGTGACATGAGCTGATCATTTTCTGCAATTATCCTTAATTTGGAATGAAGATTTCAATTCTTTGGGCAGGACTCTCACTTCTTCTTTCTGGGGCAACTTGAGAGAGAAACTAATGGCCTTGAGTGCCTAACTGGCACTACCTACACTACTACTGTAACTGACAGGCCCCATGTGTTTAGGCATCACACTGGGTTTGCTCTGCCCCTAGTTTTCCTCCAGACAGGTGCTTGTTTGCATCCTCTGTTCATCTTTAAAATCAGGTATTTCATTCTTATTGATATGGGTTCTCTTATATCTCGGCTGATTCTTTGTTGGCTGTGACTCATCTCTTCATTTTAGTGTCTTTTGTGATATTAGGAATTAAATTTATCACTATTTTCCTTTATGATTTGGCCTTTTATGTTTAAAAACCACCCCATCCCCAAAACTCTTTTATGCTGTCTTCCTCAAGTTTTGCAGTTCCACCTTTCATATTCATGTGGAGAAAGAGACCCAATTCCACTTTTCTCCAGAATCGATAGTCCCTTTCATTTGTGCACTCCAAGGTGCACCATGTCTCTGCAGTGGAGCCTCTGCATGACTGCCAGGCTGCGTCGTCTCCGTGAGGACAGCCTTTACTAGGAAGCCCTGGAGTCCAACGTGGGGATGCCTTCACCTTTTTCCTTCAGAGTAACCTTGGCTCTTCTCTGCAGGCTTTGTCTTTATAATCACAATTTTCGTGCAACTTTGTGCTGGGATCTTGACACAAATTTTATTAATTCATAATTTGTTGAGAAATGCCAAAGATATTTCCATTAGTGAACATGGCAAATCTCTGTATTGATATTTAGGTCTTCCAATAAACTTCCGTTAATTTCTTTTCTCATTACAGTCTTTTTAGTTGCAGATGGACACAAGATCACTATTTTATTTATTTATTTTTATGTGTGCTAAGGATTGACCCTGATGGCCCACACATGGTAGGCAAACGCTCTACCACTGAACTACAAGCCCAGCTCTAAGGTCACATTCTTACACATAAGATTTGACATTTTATTAAGGACAAATAGGCAAACCTAGAATACCCCATATTGTTTATAGGACAGAGTGATTTTTCTTTGTAACCAGTAAACGCACTAAACTTCCCTATTAATTCTAATACGTGTCTGTAGATTCATCTTCTAGGTGGAAAATCATATTCTATAAACAATGATCACTTTGCCTGTTTATAACCACCCTCACTCCCTCACTCCTTTTGCTTTTTGATGCTGTGTTTGCCAAGACCCCCGGGGCAGCACCGACAAAAGCAGTAACTGTCTGCAAACAGGTCACCTCTAATATCCTTCTGTCCAAACAACCCCCTGTGTCACACCCTGGTGGCGCAGCCATGGTCAGGCCCTCAGAACACACTTCTGGCTGCTGCAGTTCCTCCCTGGGAGCCCTGACCACACATGCACATGTGATACCAGGTCAGGACAGAGTCTCCTCCCTCATACGGTTTTGTTTTGCAGCCATGGCAAGCACCAGGAAGCATCCTCTGCAACCTCTCAGCATTGCCGCAGAAAAAGGGCACTAAAATTCTAGGCACTGGTTTAGCTGCAGTCCATAAAACTTGAAAGAAGACTTTTTTTTTCTTTTTGTGGTACTGGGGATTGAACACAGGGATTCTCTACCACTGAGCTACATCCCCAATCCTTATTTTTTTGAGACAGGGCCTTGCTAAGTTGCTGAGGCTGGCTCCAAACTTGTCATCCTCCTGCCTCTGCCTCCCAAGTAGCTGGTATTACAGGTGTGCTCCACCATGCCTGACTGAAGTTTTTTCATTACTCAGCTTTAAAATTCCATTCTGATTCTTTTTTGGATCCATAAGTTTGAAAGTAAGGTTGCTAATTTCCAAATATAATTTTTTAAATAGTTACAATTTTGCTACTGAATTAGAATGACTGCATTACATCTGGAGACAGTGTCCCATCTGTATGACACTGAGCCTTTGGGCCTGAGCTCTACAGCTTCCATACAAGTCAATTTCTACCAGGAGTCAAAGTGTGCTAATTTCCATAACTGCCAATCTGCTAGACTCAAAATACAGTCTTCTGAACGCAAACACACACAGGGAGAAGGGCATTTTAGGAGCCTAAACTTTCCATCTCTTCATTAAGATTAATGAATTTAATGAAGATGTTAGGACAACTTCAAGTTAATGTCTCAACACTCATTTCAATCAAATAAACATTTCCATGTCTGGGGCTTCTCTCCAACCATTCTCCAACCAACTGACGCCGCAGGATGGACCATCTAGCCCAGTTACCTTTTGAAGACTGCGGTCTCCGTCTTGGCATCCACGGTGAGGCTGAGTGTTTCCTTCATGCCGCCATTCATCACCGTCTCAGTTACCTTGTCTGCACTCTCGGCATCCTCCTCTCCATCGGAGCTGGCTTCCATGGCCACACTGCTTGGCGCTGAAAAGAGTACACAGCTGATGGTCACATATACCAAACCCCACCTGGAACCCTCATCCCTCTGTTAAAGGGCCCTGCCCGTGTCACATCTACTGCTTGCGGATGATGACAGAATGTTTGTCTGGTGCTGCTTGGCTGAATTCTTACGGGCCACTGGGGTCACGAGCCACAGTTTCTTCATTGGAGAACTGGTGAGAAACCTACAGCCTTCACAGCTGTGTCCACCTCTGACCTGGCTTTCACACAGCAACCCTGGTGCTCCCGATGGTCCCACTCTACAGAATGGGGCAGAGGACACAGTCACCAGTTCTTGCCTCTATCCACTTGGGTCCTAGCCTTTTCTTGCCTTTTTTACTGTCATTTTCTCGTGCTGTTCTGGTCATCCCTTTGTAAGTTGTAGTGGTTATAAACTTGAGTGAATGGCAAACTGCCCTGGATTCCAACCCTAGTACTTCCACTTCCTGGATGTGAACCCTTGGGCAAGGAACCTTACCAGTGCCTCAATATCCTCACCCATAAAGTGGAACCAGTGAGGCGACTTACAACAGCTGAAGGACTGTGACTACCTATTCAAATGTTTAGGAGCTTGATAAATAAAACCACACTAGCCCTTGGCTTTAGTCCTCCCCAGGCCCCTGCTTCTGGGAGCCTCTTCTTGCATCATCTTTCTTTTCCAAGGACTCATGCTCTGTTCCCTCTACATACTCCCACACTCCCAACTCCCCACCATACCCCCACCTCCCCAAACCCAAGTCATTGGTGGAAAGGTTCAGAAGCTGGCACGATAACCACACCTGTAATCTCAGCTACTAGAGAGGCTGAAAAAAGGAGATGGCAAGTTCTAGGCCAGCCTGGGCAACTTAGTGAGGCCCTGTCTTGTAATAAAATAAAATTTTTAAAAAAGAGCTGGGGTGTAGCTCAGGGGTAAAATACATGTCTAGCATGTATGAGGCCCTGGGTTCTGTCCCCAGTACTTGGGGGAAAGCCCAAATGGTTCACACCTGCTGCAAGGAACATCTGTGAACATTCTGAGAAGTAAGGCAAACCATGGTGCTGAGGTGGAGCTCTGTGGTAGAACACCTGCTTAGTATGTGTAGGCTGGATCCTCAGCAGCACGTACAAGTAAACGTAATAAAGGTTTATTGACAACTAAAAAAAAAAAAAAAAAAAAAATAAGGCAAACCATGGGAACTTCAGACACTATGACCATTTTATCTGCTCATAAAGGTGAAAGCAAAATAAACAGTCCCACAGCCTCAAATAGGTCCAGAGATGACTGGGGCCAGGCCTGACGTGTCTGCATCAGTTTCTGGTTTTGTTCGTCCTAGGTGCTGGAAGTCAAGGCAGTCCTGCGCTCTGGGCCTCAGGGGCCTCACCTGCACACAGACAGGTCTGACAATCTATAGACCTCTTATTGCTAGAATCAACGGGCTACGGTTCTGGAACAACATACACAATTTCTTTTCCTTGGGTGCCCTGTGGACATCAGGGCCACTCTCTTATTTTCCTGGTCCTGTGAGGTCCAACTCTGAGTCAGGTCTGGGTGCCTAAGCCTGCTATATGCGTGCTGGCCCGGTTTTGCGCTCACCCTCTGGCTGTGCTGCCAAGGCAGTGACACTGGGAGTCAGGGGGTCCATGGCTTCAGTGCTGGTTTCCATTTCCACTGGAGAATTACTCCTTAAGGAATCTTTAGTGCTTTCAGAAAAGAGAAAATTCAGATGTTAGCAGTGGGAACAGTCCTCAGCCACCTCATTATTCACAAAAACCCTCTGAGAATAAGTGTGGAATAAAATCAGTCAGCCTCTGTAGGAGGAGCAGGGCTGCACACTCCAGAGACACACAGGTGGCTATCTGGAGGGTAGGAGGGCAAAGCTTTAGAAGGCCAGGCCCTCAGGGAATTGGAAACAGGCTCAACAGGCCCCACAATAACCACCAGGCTCCTAAGGCCTGGGTGATAGACTTCAAAACTTTCACAAAAATCCTGACTAACCTCCAGGCAAACTGCCTGGAGGCATGGGCTATCTTAATGCTACTCATTGTGGAAACTACAAAAACACAGGAAGAAACACCAGGGGACCAAGCCATGGGGCAGAAGGCTAGTGAATCTGCTTCCAATAATCCCAGAGATTGCTGTGCAGGGTTCAAGAGAAGCATTCCTAAGTAACCACAGGCTCTTTCCCCGCAGGCAGGAAGAACTTGGTCCTATGCTGGAGCAGAAAGAACTCCTACTTTGGAGACATTTTCACTTGGAATCTCACTTGGAGCTTGGAAGAGCTCAATGCTACTACTAGAGGTGCTACGGAACACTGCAGGCTGTCCTTTGCTTTTAGGATGGTGACTGAGGGCTAGAGTTTGTCTTCCTATCTTCTGCATTATCAGCAAGTGCTTATTAGGATAGGGAAAGCAATAAAGTCTTTCAAGTGGGGTGATGGAGATTATTGTTTGTTTTTTTCCTAGTAGACAGAAGAAAACATTTAGCAAGTCTAATGGGACTTGAAATCCATGGTTGATACTCAAAGGCTGACAATGCTATTCAGGAAAATTATACAATCAGAGGCTTCTGTCTTGCAGAATAATACAAATAACAAGGCTAACACAGGATACAAGTCCCTATTAACTACTGAATTCAAGATACACTTTGCATTTTTATGTAGCAACATTCCACACAAAGGTGCCATCAGGAGCTCATTCTTATTCTCAACCTTGTCAATTGCTCCGTGGAGCTGGAAAAGCCAACAGGGCTGTCATCCCTGGCCATGTCCTGCCAAGGCTCAAAACAAACCTTCCCAGGCCACTTGTTCAAGAGCTCCCCCTTTCCCAATTGGTCCTAGAGTAAAGGAAGATGGTGACTGCTTTGCTTGTGATGGAGCTGTCAGTACCTCCCCCATGTTGGCTTCCAATCTAGCTGACGGCACTATTTCAACTCAGAGGTCAGTGAAGGTAAGAAACATAGGTTAGGAGTGAACACTATTATTCCTGTGGAAATGGTCAGACAGCACACACTCACTCACCTCAGAGATGACGTGAACTCTGAAAAAGAAGCCCAGCCCGTCTCCTTAGTTGGCATTGGCTCCTCTGTGCTCCAGACATCAGAGCCCACTGAGTCTAACGGAGTGCCATGGGTGGTCTCCATTGGGACATCAAAGTTGGCCGACCAGCTGGGTGCTGAAACAAGGCAAAACATTTTGTTTGGAGACTATTTCAGTAGGTTGGTGTAACACAAAGTATTTCTTGTGCAGTATCCGGGCCTACGGTCCAGACTACTCTGGAAGCTGAGGGAGGAAGATGGCTCAAGTCAAGAAGCCAAGGAGCTCAAGCCTGGACAAAGAGAGATCCCATCTCAAAGAAAGAAGAGAAAAGAGGAGGCAAGACAAGAAAGAAAAAGACAAAGATACTTTCCTAACAGATTAGCAATGACAAAGAAAGACGGGGGCCATAGAGAAAGGGAATTCTAGCTGACCACTAAGAGGCCTGGGAAGGGCAGTCACCTGGAGGGCACCATGACAACACCGCTTCATTACTGATTCTCCTTTCAGCCAGCAGGTTCATTCCTAAGAGGTTTTTCCAACAGAAATATTACACAAGGATACAAAGCCACACATAAAAGATGTGTTCATGCTAACTTCTGAGTTCTGACATACGTTCCAAGAATCTATTAATACTGGGAAAAGCAGCTGAAGGGTCTCTGGAACCTTCTGGACTATCTTTGCAACTTTTCTGAAAATAACTTCCAAAGCAATAAGCCTATTTTTAAAAAAGAACATACTAGTTATGCAATTGTAGTAAGTTGGACACACCCAGGATGCTTCCCAGTGCAGGTCCAGCTGCACCTCCCAGGCTCCATGGCTTCGCTGCAGTCCCCCGTGGATAAGCGCACACAGTGGGAAAGCTACTGGCCTGAAGGCTTGGGGCTGCTCTCCAAGACTGGAGCCACAGGGCTGCTCAGCTGTGCTCCCTGTGCCTGCTACCCAAGTCTGGGCCTAACCAGAGGTCTGTTCAGTGTCCCTTCAATGAAGTCAGGTAAAGTCAGGTCTCTGCTTGCTCTGCCTGTGCCCAGCGCTTTTCTTCACAGTCTAGAGACCCTCAAACCCTGTGAGAAGCCCTGCTCTCCACCAGGGTGTTTTCTACCACAGTCAGAAGCCTCCAGGCTGTCGGGAAGAAATGCTAGGGGACCTGCTGGCCATCTGGGATGCTTGTCCCAGGAACAGATGATTGAGATGTACCTGTGCCAAGTAGAAACATTCCAATTTTAGAGAGAGAACTTTCTGGGACTTTGAGCAAATGAAAGCTTTCCAAGTTCCTTCCTCACTGTTCAATTCAGACAAGGACTGTCTATACCACAAGGAGCCGAGTTGGGGTTTGTTTGGTATGTCTTGTCCTTGAATCTATGTGAGTATGGCAGAGCTCCGCGACAGCCATGAGGGATAATACCTGAATGTTTCAAAGTCTCACCTCAAACCTCAAAAAAGCAAATCTGACAGGTATTTCTGCCTGCTTACCTCAGGCCGAGTCAGGAATCACTCCATTAGAACCAGAGCTCCACTCACGTGCAGCTCACTCGACAGGACTTCTCCACCGTCATCTGGGGGACAGTGCTTCCCAGGTAGCCCAGAGCCATTCTAACGTGAGAAACTCTTCTCCACAGTGCACAAACCCCCAAAACACCAGAGGTCAGCCCTCCTTGTGCACTCAGAGATCTGATGAAAAGAAGCCTTGCCCAGGCAGCAGGGACGCCGGAAGGCTGGGGTCCTGTTGTGCTGGCCCAGGGAGTTAGCCTGGGTGTTCTCCTCTCTCCCCATCCCCACCCAGTTCTAGAGTCACAGTGCAATAGTGCGTGGTCTCCTCCAAGTCCTTTATCACACCCCAGCCCCTCAAAGCACCAGTTCTGAAATGTTCTTCCTCATCTTACAAGGAAATTCTACACATGCTAGGACATGATGAAGCTCAATACTGCAATGAGTGTAATAAGCCACCCACAAGGGAGAATGACCATGTCGTTCCACTCAGAGGAGCTGTCTGGAGCAGTCGAGTTCACAGCTTCAGAAAGCAGGATGGGGTGCCCGGGGTGAGGCAGCGGACAATGGGTTGAGTGCTCTGTGGGCACCAGATTTCAGTTTGGTCAGGTGAAACAGTTCTAGGGATCTGCCACACAGCCCGTGAGTGTACATTAGCAGCCTTCACTAAACCGACCTTTCTGGACCAGAAGACAAGGGTGTATCTGACCTGTCACCTCCTTCTGCACCCCTACCAGCTCTCCTATTTCTCACATATATCAGCAGCTCAATGGTGTTCCTGTCCCCAGCATGAATTTTCTAGTCTAGCTCTTACAGTCTGCCACAAATACCTGTTTAATCCTCAGGGTCCCTAGAACTTTCAAGATAGGATTCTGGACCTGGCTCTTGGCCTTACTGTCTCTCTCCTTCTCATCCTGTTCTTGAAGTACATTAAGCAGCTTGGGTCTCAGTGCCTTCTTGTTAGCTGTTCTGTCTTTCAAACTGGCTGATTCCTAGTTGTCCTTGAGCACCACACCCTCAGGGAGGTCTGTGCAGATGCTGGGCAGCGCTGAGCTTCCCTCTTCCAGCACTCTGCTCTCCCAGCAGGCCCTGCGTGTTGGGGGTACAGCCAGAGAGAGGCTGCACCTGGGGCACAAAAAGTCCTGGATAAAGGCAAGCTGACCTGAACTGGGAAAGATGTAGGGGCTGGTGGGCAACCCTCCTCTCTTCCCTGGCTCGAGAGTAGATGTGCTGGATGACAGCTCTGAGGGTCCCATAATGGACCAAGGAAATGAAGGCCTTCCTAGCAACAGGAAGGTGGTCAGGCTTGGGGAAAGCCCACTGTCAACCTGAGTGACTCCTTCCCATAAAGGTTTTCCCAAATTTTATAAGTCAGCAGTGTTTGTAAGTCAACTCTTCTTGGTAAGTAGAAGGGTGCAGACTGATTCTTAGTTGAACAAGTTTTATCGCCGTAAGTTTCACAAATAACTGTGAAGAACCCATTTAAAGATGCTTAAGCATTATGTTGCTTTCTCTGGTCTATTCCATTTATGATTCCACAAAACATCTTTCCTCACCTCTGCCAGCCTGTGGTTTTCCCCTTTGGCTACAGCACAGGTCTGCGGAGGCTGAGGGGGGACTTCCCAAGGTACAAAGTCCTCTGGCCAGACTCACCCGAACAATAACACCCATGGCCAAAGCCTAACCTGTTCCTTCTGGGAGGCTGGGTGCCAGGACTTAAATCTACAAGGGATTCATACCACCAGGTGTGCTTCCACTTGACTATTCATTCAGAAGCCACTTCAGACACAACAGACTGTGATTTTGCCTATTTTTCAAAATACAAATTTAACACATCACAACTAACACATAAGAACTAGGTGACTTACGTTCATTCAGGTCTACCTCCATTTTATCCTCTGTATTGGCGCTACTGGACTCAAACAAGTCCTGCTTTGCTCCATCTTCTTCTTCAGAATCTGTACTTTCTTCGCTGTCTGTACTCCCCGAGCTGCGAAGAAAGAAAAAGGACTGAAATATTTAATGCTGCTTATCAGCCACCAGCTACATCCAGAACAAGCAAAAGGTCACCTAACAAAATAAGATCAACGGTGCTTCCACCTTGTCACTGCCTACAGGCAGCCTCACTGGGACATGGGGAAGTCACGTGGCTGTGCGGGTGGAACTTCACATGTAAGTCAGCAACTGCTCCCCAGCTGGGGTCCCCAAAGGTGCAGACCACCATCTAGATGGCTGCTCCAACAGGCAGGCAGTGTGTCCCACCATGGGGTAAGCTGCACTTTCCTAGTGACCATGGATGATGACCATCCTTCCATGTGTTATCTTGTCATTTTGTCCTTTCTTAACTTTTTTCACATTTTTAGAGCGTTTAAAAATTTGACATGTATTTTTTTTTAATTGGGTAAAGAGTCTTAACTCTGCATGCAGACTCTTTATCCAATTCATGACTTGAATTTTCAGTGTGCAGTGTTTTCCTTGAGTGTCTTGTGAAGATTTTATAAAGCTTTAAAATTTGACATTCAACTAACCAAATCTTTTTCATGTACTATGCTTTAGAGACGTATCTAAGATGAACTCAGATCACGTGATTTTCTACATTTTCCTTAGCAGCTTTGATTTCTTGCCTTACGTTGGGGCATAAGTTCCACTGTGTTACTGTGAGTCTGTAGTTAAGAAATGGTTTGAACATGGATGTCCAAGTGTCCTAGCACTGCTTGCTGAGACTGCTGCTTCCACGGCAATGCCTCAGCACACCCATCCACAGCCGAACTGGCCTGTTTTCAGGCTCTTCATTCTGTCCACAGACCCACTCCCTATCTCCTTATAAATATCACAATGTCTCCATTACTGCCTCCTGAAATCAAGTGCTAGAGCTCCAATTTTGCTGCTCTTTATGAAAGTCACCTGGCTGTCCTATTCTATAGTCTAGGTTCTTTGTACTTCCACATCAATTTAAGAAGGATGTTGCTAGTGATAGTGCTTAGTCTACAGGTGGACCTGGGAGAACTGGCACCTGCACAATACTGAGTCTTCCATTCATCAATATTTGTCTTTGTCTTGTCTCAGCTACATATAATGGATCTCAGTGCACACGCTTTACACGTGTTGTTAGATTTATCCCAACATATTTAATATTTTTGATGCCATTATGAAAAGCATTGTTTGGTAATTTCAATTTCAACTGTTACTTTCAGTCATACAATACACAATTATATTGACCTTGTACAACACAACCTTGCTAAATGCATTTGAATTATTCCAGTAGTCTTTTCTGCATCAATGGTCATGTTGTCTGTGAGCAGTTTTATTTCTTGCCTTACAATCTAGATGCCTCTCTTCTTTCCCACTTGGGGCATTAGCTAGCAGTGAAGGATAATACTGAAGCAAAGCTGCTTGAGAAGACATTCTTGTCTCATTCCTGCTATTAGGGGAAGTTACTTGATCTTTACTGCTAGGTGTAATGCCAACAGCACCTTTCTACATACTTCAATCAGGAGGAAGAAATTTGCTTCTAATTGCCAAGTTTCTACCACAAATGGACACTGATCGTTTTGTAACACATCCTCGCTGACAGATTTTAATATGCTGGCTGGGGATATAACTCAGTTGGTAGAGTGCTTACCTAGCATACACAAGGCTCTGGGTTCAATTTCCACCCCCCTCCCCCCCCCACACACAAAGATTTAAGATGCCGAAGCAATTCCACATTCTGGGAGTTAACCTCGGTCATGACACGTTATTGCATCTAATTTCCTTATGCTCTTAAGGAGTTTCTATATGTATTTTCAGGAGAACTACTAGCTACTTTCCTCTTCTTATACAAGAATGCCAAATTTTGGTAATCTGCTACACTAATGGGGCTTCAAAGAATTAGATGGGCAAAAATTTCTGGGTAGAACTGGTTTAGTATCTTTCTAAAATGTTTGGTAGAATTCGACAGCAACGTCACTGAACTGGAATTTCTACTTTCTGGTGGTAAGTTTTAAAACTAAAAATTTGACACCTTTAATAGACAGGATCATTCAGGTGTTTTTTGCTTCAGTTTTAGTACTTTGCATCTTTAAAAGATCACTTGGGTTTTACTGGCATAGAGTTGTTCATAATTTCCTTATTATCTTTTACATCTTCCAGGTATACAGAATGTAGACTAATGTCACCTCTCTCATTCTTGATACTAACATCATCTTTTTTTTTTCCTGATCATTCTGGCTAGAAGTTTATCAATTTTATTGATTTTCCTGAAGAACAACTTGGTTTTACTAAGTTTTCCTACTGCTTTTCTGTTTTGTACTTCACTGAACTCCACTCTAATCTCTGTATCAGTTATTTCTGCTTACAAGGGTTTAATTTGCTCTTTTCCTAGTTTCTTTATGTAGAAGCTGAGGCTATTCTTTCTTCATTTCTAATACACCAGTTAGTGCTAAGAATAATTTTCTGTGTAAAGTTTTAGCTTCATCTCCCAAATTAAGCATAGTACTGTGGAAATTTTCCCTTTGATTTCTTTTCACCCATGTGTTACTCAGTTTCTAAATATTTGTAGATTTCCCAGAGTTCTTTCTGATGCTGATTTCTAATTTAATTCCATGTTGATCAAAAAATGACATGATCTCTTTAGACTTTATTGGGATTTGCTTTATTCTCTGAACATGGTCAATTCTTGCTAAATATTCCACCAACTTGCAGGACTGAGTATTCTGCTGTTGGGCAGACTTCTTTAGAAATGTGCAAGTGGAACATTTCAGGGGACAGTGCTGTGCAACTGTTCCACAGTCTATGGCTTCTGCGTGTTCAACTCTATGTCTGCTCCGTCTTCTTCATGAATTGACTATTTTGTTATTGTATTTTCCCTTTGAAATAATCTTGGAGATTTCCTAGCTTTTTGTTTTACTGGTATTGGTGTGGTTTACCTTCTTCCCTTTGACCTGTTTCTGTCTGCATGTCTGACTGTTTCAAAGGCTATGAACTTAGGCTTTGTTTTCTAGTCTAATCTGACGTGTTTACCTTTCATTTATTTTTTATTTCCTGGTGCTGGGGGCTGAACCCATGGTCTTGTACCAGCACTCTGCCACAAAGCTAATCCCCAAACCCTTGCTCTCTAGTGGGGGCCGCTGGGTTGCTTAGTTAACATGATGAGTACCATCATCTTACTGTTAGTTTGTCCAGCCGCCCTTTGCTCTCTTTTGCTGCCTTCATTTGGAATTTTTTATGATCTTATTTCCTATTTGGCTTGTTAACATTACTCCTGCTCTGTTTTGGTGACTGCTCTAGGGTTTGTAGTATATACGTCTTGAACTTATTGCAGCCTATCTTAAAGTGACAGAATCCAAAACCAGAAACAAAGCAAATGTCCATCAACAGGAAAAAAAGATACACACTAGTACATCCAATTAATAAATACTACTCATCAATAAAAAATAAAAAGGTATTGATGCATTACTTGGCACAATGGCCCTCAAAATAATTATTCTGAGTGAAAAAAGCTAGATAAAAAGTGTGAAATGTATTACTTCATTTATATAGTTCTTGAAAGTGCAAGTTAATCTAAAGGAAAAGAAAGCAGACAAGGCTCAGAAACAGGAGGGCTACAAAGGGCATAAGAACATTTGGGGGGCTGGGGCTCAGCGGTAGTGCACTTGCCTGGCATATGTGAGACACTGGGTTTGATTCTCAGCACCATGTAAAATAAAGAAAGGACTATCAACAACTAAAAAAAAAAAAAAAGAAAGAAAAAAAAAAAGAATGTTTGGGGGTGAAGGACAAGCCTGTGGTCCTAACTGGGGTGATGGTTTCAACAAGGGTCACACGCATAGTTCTTTAGCATGCAGCCTAGTGTGTATCAATTTCACCTCCACAGAGTTGCTGTGTACACAACCCTGCCCTCTCAGCCTGTGCTCCTCCTGGGGGCCAACGGCTTTCCGCCAGGCATTTCTCCCACCACATGTCCTTCTGCCCTTTCCACACCTGGTGCTCTGCAAGGCCACTCAGAGATACCTCTCCACATGAGGACCAAAACCTCATAGTAAATGGCAACCAACAAATCTGACTGGAACTTTGTCTTTAAAAAAAGGTCACCAAAAAGACACCTGCCTTTTACTGTCTGGCTCTAAAGCTACAGCAGCTATCTTGTGATCAGGGGATAAACCAACATGCAGAAGATAACAGAGCAGGAATAAATGAGACTCCAGGTCAATTCTAGATTACAAGAACAACATACCCTTCCCTGCTTAAGCTATTATAGAATCCTCCATGATCTGTGGCAGTCACTGAGAGATGCAACCCAAGTGCCAGCACACACAGGGACCAGGCAGCTCCAACGACACCTGGGAGATGGGGTGGGAGCTTTACTTTCCTTCTATACCCCTTCTGTTCCCTTTGAATTTTAGGCCATGTGAAAAACACTACTTATGAAAAAATAAGTAAATTTAAAAAAGTTCAGCTACTGCTCTGCATCCCCGTCTCAGCTCTATGAAGACTCCGATGATGAGCACTCACATAGCTAGAACTGCCAGCACGCAGAAGAGCATCTCTTCAGATTTTTGGGACAAGAGTGATGAAAAGAAGACCCGATGGACCTAGATGGTATCCACGGCCAAGACCCCGTCTTTCAAGATAAACTTTTGGAAATGACTTGAGACAATAATAACTCAGCTGCTGCTATCACTGGGGGAACACTACTTAGTCAAAGGAACGAAGTGACACACTGATCGGACACTTGCAGCATTTTCCAGTGTGTTGCTGTGACTGCGGCACTACAGAGAGGAGAACCAGCACGAGCTCCCCTGGGTTCCCAGGGGCTTCCTCCTCACCATGGCCGCTCGTCTGCTACACGAGCTGCATGCAATCAGGGCTACAGAAAACCCTCCTTCACCTGGATCGCCTCTGGGACTCTGGCGTACATGCAATGTGCTTTTCCTCCCAGATGTCCTCCTCGTCAGAGCCACCATCATCAAACTGTTGTATTCTCTCCTTACAACACGCTTCAAACAGAGCAATATTACCCTAAATAAAACCAAGAGTGAGAAAAAGAAGAAAAATTTAAAATCTTATCGTTTTCTCCCCCAAGTAACCAACATGAATTGCGTTTTTTCAATTTGCGTTAAAATACAGTGTCTAGGGGCTGGGGCTATGGATCAGCGGTAGAGCGCTTGCCCAGCACAGGCGAGGCCCTGGGTTTGATCCTCAGCACGACATAAAAATAAATAAGTAAAATAAAGGTATTGTGTCCAACTACAAAAAATAAATAAATAAATAAATAAATAAATAAATTTAAATGGTTTTTTAAAAAAAATACAGTGTCTATCACACCAAAATAAAATGTAAGCATCTAATTTCAACTTCTGTGCAAGTAACAAGAAGCCCTAAAAGATGTGCACAGCCTGCTTGCAAGTGGCTTGGCCACACACTTCTCTCAAACCCACTTTCACCTAGTCGAAGCCCCATAGCGGTTAAACTTCCCTCCTGCCCCAGAGAGGCAGTCCCAGATCTTTCCAACAAGGAAAAATGATTCATGCTCCCTCTGCAGCTCCCAGTCCAGTTCACAGTGATGAGTGGCATGGTCCCAATCAGCTGCTGTTTCTAGCTCATCGCACCAGCAAGGAAACCAGTGGTCTCTCATGCTAATCACCCTAAAATCAAAGCTTTGCTCATTCCAATGAAGGCTGCACCTGGGTTTTCCAAGAAGCCTGGTGATGAGGTGAGCCCTGGTCCAACCCAAGTTTCTCTCCTGGTAATATAAAGGAGACAAACTGCAGCCTTCCCTTTGAAGCCAAATGTCTATGCTGCCATCACAAGTCACCCTGGTTTCATGAGCGCAGTCAGGGTTGCAACCTCATACCCGCAGGGTTAGGCAGCCCTCTAGAGTAGGTGACACGTGTGACGTCAATCTGACCTGTGGGCTCCAGGAGTATAGAGGGTACTAGTGCATGTGGCAACCACACCTGGGCTCCAACAAAACCCAATTCCACCCTTCATGTGCCCTGTTACTCGCAACAGGAAATTTTCATACTTACACTTTCATTTGTATTGAGAGTAAAGTTGATGTCTGACACCCGATCAAAAGAAACACTGTAAAAAGAATATAAGTGTAAAAACTGTTAATTATCTATAGGCTCCCAGAATCAGTATTCATGAAATTTCCTAAATTCAAAGCATTCACATTATCATCAAAATCTCTAAAGGAAAAACTGAACAAAACAATCTTCTTGTATAAATTATGCACCCCTCTTGGCATTAAGGATGCCAGGGGTGGGATGGAAATCTGAGACATAGCCTCTAGGAAACCTAAAAGCCTTCCAACAAAGAATTTGACATCATGGTAACAACCACAGTTCCATGAACCATACTAATACAATCAAGAAAAAAGATACTCGCAAAGAAAAACTACATTAAAACCTGAAAAAGTAGAGAAATGTTGTCAGGCATCAAGCTTTCTCCAGTTACAGCTAAATCCATACCAATCACAGGCAATCCCCAAAAGCATAGCCAGGAAAAGAGGAGGCAGGAAAACATTCACAGTGAATAAAACTGTAAATGCAATTCTTGAGCAGATGAAGCTTTTAATTCTTAAGAGATCTGTTCTAATCAATTGCTATTCCAAGCATCAAGTTTTAAAGAGATCTGGATTCCTACTAAGTAACACTCCTTGAGTCCAGACAGGTCAAGTAGGGGTCTGAAGGCTCTCAGGTGAGGTGGGGGTTACAAGCCTGGGTAAAAGCTCCTGGACTAAACATGTAACTCTCCAGGAGAGTTCTCGCTCTTTCTGGATTGAGGTAAGCCAATCCTTAAGGCAGCCGACAGCCCTCAAAGCCTGCTGTTTACAGTGGAACCTCTGCTCCACTGTGTCAATACTGTGTGTTTATGGCACATAAGAAGCTATAAAAATATTTTAGCTTCTCATATACTGTAAACTGCAATTTGTAACAAACAACAGCCTCCATTGGCTGCAGTTCAACAAATGACTGAGAACCGATTGCCGCCAAGGCCACACAGCAGGCACTGTGTGCTCATGGCACAATCAACACCCCCCAGGATTCAAATCCTACATGCTTCAATTCTGTTCAGTGAGCTCTAAAACTTATCTCCAAAATGCTGTTTACAGAGAGCTGTCCTTTCCCAAGGTCAGAGGCTAGAGCACTGATTTGCACCTGTGAGTCACTTATACATGTTCTATTGTCTCATTCTTTCCCATACCTATAATTCTCACTCACTCTCTCTCATCCTGATTACAGAATGAGTGGTGCAACTGTCTGGCTCTTGCCAGGAAGAATCCAAAAGTCCCTTACGATGAGACCCTGAGAGCAAACACGCAGGGCAAAGTTGCCCCTGCCAATCCAGCCATACTGGGAATGTCATACCGCCTTGCTCAGCCTGTTCATGAGTACGCCTCCAGATAGAAAATGAGGCACAGGGACTACTTACTTGGGGAATTCTACTTAACACCACCTAGAAGAACAGAATAAGGACATGGGTTCCCAGAAGAATGATAATCTAGCAAAAAAACAAACTTTGTGATAGAGCTCAAGCCCTGGGGGTGGTGCATCTTTCCTGGGGTGTTATGTTATGCCCTGGGTGTCTGAAGCTTAAAGCTGGATATGCTGAAACTAAAGGGCCACCAGGGAGAGCATCCATCACAATCATAAAAAGGTCTCACAGAGAAAGGCAGTGAACATGACAAAAGGAAGACATACTCACTTGCCAATGTCATCTTGATCTGCAAACTTCTCATCGTTGAAGCCAAACTGGTCAATAAAATTGGACGTCATTTGTTGCATCTGATAATCAGAAAAGGCCTGGCAACCCCAGGACCAGTGACAGTGATATAATGATTCTAATGACATTCTACATATTATTTGCCCATTTGTGTTTTAGAAATCATTTTATGTACATAGCCATATGGCTTTAAAAGTTGGTGTGGTTTTTTTTTAATCAAATAATTTCAGATACATTTTGCCAAACATGTTTGAAATTTGGTTCACAATTAGTTCTATTGCACAAGACATTGTGAGAAACGCTGAGTGACCACACTGTCTTCTGTTGTCAATCATCTTTAGGGAGAGGTCTGATAAGTGATCTGGTGGCTAGTCTGAAATTATAAGGTGCATCAGCCATCTCATGGCACACCAACTTTACCCTAAGACCCAACAAGCACCGACCACCCACCCACCCTCCCTGCCATCCCTGGGGTACCCAATCCACCACAGCAAAAACGACTGATGAAAAATATCATGATCCTACAAACAAAATGTTCAGGGACAGTTCATTTTCTAAAAAACAGACTGAAGTCTCAGAAGCTGGGCAGAGTGTGAGACAGAATTGACTTCTACCCTACCTACCTTATGTAGAGGACAGAAAGTTCTCAAGCTCATCTGAAAGCACTCGAGAAAGCCTAAGACGTCAGAGGCCTGTGGAGAAGCGAGTTCTGCCTCTTCACGTCACTACCTAGGTGGGTGCCAGGCTCATGTGTGCTTTCTTAATTGAACAATGAGGGAATGCTCTAATGGGCTCCATGGAAAGTGCCTACGCTCTTCACGCACGCCCGAGGAAGCAGACAGAAACAGCGAGTCAGGAACGACGACACACCAAGAAAAGTGCCACCTCCTCATTCTAACCCAGACGACCAACAGGACACATACCAACCAATGTGTGTGCTGCCCAGTGGACAGAGGTGCCGTCCCCCACAGGCCAGCCCCGGGAGGGGTGGCTGGCTGACCTGAGCTTCACCTCTGTGGCTACTTTCTGGAAGGAGGCAGCCATGACCGAGTCAAACTGACTTGTAGGGTCCACAGCTGAGTACAGCCCTGAGTCCAACCTGCAGATGCATCCTACAGAAATGCCCTGACAATTAACTCCTGATGGCTCATTCTGGTGGCAGGGAATTATGGCAGAGATAATCCAGATGGAAGGTAATTAAAAAACAAACCTTATATTTGGCTTTGGAAAGTATCTTTTGCTTAGGTCTGAAAAAAAGCTGCATCTTGGGACTGGGGTCGTGGCTCAGTAGTAGAGCGCTTGCCTTGCACATGTGAGGCACTGGGTTCAATCCTCAGTACCACATAAAAAAATAACAAAATAAAGATACTGTGTCCATGTATAACTAAAAAAGTATTTTAAAAAAAGAAAGAAAGTGCTGCATCTTGTTTGCTAGATACAGAGAACCCCAAACCTCACTTGCCTCTCACAAAAGACCATCACCCTGTTCACACACACCTCCACACTGTCCCCTTTCTGGCCTATGGAAATGACATTATGTGAGCACATGGGGGCATGGGGCTAGTGGACAGCTGGCTACAGGACAGTCAATCATGGTATATTTGCAGAGGTGGCTTTGTAGCATGGGGTAAAGCATAGAGTGCAAACGAAAACTGAGCCTTGGGAATTTGGTTGAAAGCAGAAGAGGGGGGACAAATTCTGGGTGACAAACTGAACTTTGGGCATATGAAACGTAAACATGATAGGCAACATTCACATCCATTAAATCAAAAAGAAACCAACTCCTCTGAATTATAGCCATTATTTCTTATGCTTGGTACTTTTAAGACATGCTAAAGAACCAGAATGTCATTCTACCAGGAAGGCAGCATTTGGTCATAGAAGGGTGAGGTTCTCTCCCAGAACCGTATAGGCAGCAGCATGGACACTGTGAGGCATTCACAAGGTGACATGTGAACATCACCTGTAGGGCAAAACTGCAATCCCCAGGGATTACTAATGAACCACTAAAAAGGTGCAGTTTAAATATAATAACCATTTCACTTGCAAAATGACTTTCACTGGGCTCTCTACACCTGGGGGCTTTGGCTACAAAAGGCTCAACTTCACATGTGAATGAGAATTTTAAGCTGCTACACATGCTAATATTCTGTTTAAAATGATAATGATGATGAAATATCAAATTAACCTAGACTTGCACTCTCCCCAACATAAATGACTAAATAAATAATGCTTTTGATCCTACTTCTTATTTTCAAATGACCCACAGCTGCCTTATACAAAGGAAAGCTTATGGAAGCCTGTCAATCTGAAAAGAATGATACTCTTTCTATTTCTAGAGGTTTATGAGGTGTGAATAAAATTCACAAGACTGGGCAGGAACTAGGTGAGGGTTGTTTCAGTCAGTTTTATGACTCGGATTATTTTATATACAAGTCAGCATCAGTAAAAACAAAACAAAACAAACGTTAGAAAACTCTTCAGAACTGATTATGACTCTGGAATCACATATCATGAGAAATAAGCAAACTCACTTTCTAGTTGCCTAAAATTAATCAATTCTACATTTAATTAGTAGCTGGAATTCCAGGGCTGGGGGCATAGCTCAGGGGTAGAATGCATGCTCAGCATGTGCTGGGACCTGGGGGTTTGATCTCCCAGCACCATTAAAACAACAACAACAACAGTTCAGGGTATCCTTTTTCTTAATTCTGGAATTTGGGAGTTCCAAATTTACTAGCACATTTTAAAACAGATGTTTCAGGCATCCGACCAAGACAATTTACATTTAGTACCACCAAGCTTCATTCCAGAGGTACAGCAATGTACAGCACTCATGACTGGTTGACTATTTTGGTACTCTGCAGGTGCTTCAGTAGAAAGATCACTATTAAAGAGCTTCCTGGGGTAAATACAAGAGAATTCTGGGGACAAGACAGGACTGCTTATAGGCATGAGGCCTCACAACCAGCCACAGTGGGCCAACCTGGCTGATCAGTGCTTCATGAAAGCAAGGTGCTACTTTTTGAGAAGGCATGCACTGATGCTCTACGGTGCTCCCTGTAGGCCTGCTACTCCCTGGCTCTAACTTCAGAAGACAGGCTACCAAAGGGCAGCCATGTCAAGCAACAGGGAGGCCAACCAAGTGTAGACATGCCACTTGAGATCTATTTGGAAAGGTGAATGCTAAACTACCTTTGTATCAAAACCAAACGATTGCTTAGCCTCAGAAACACTGGAACATGAAAGGCATGCCAAAAGACAAGGGAACTCTCCCCTGATGCTTTTCCAGGCCCTGGTAAAAGACAAAGCCTAGAGACTGAGAAAAAAGAAGCCAAGCAATATTCAGTGCAGAATGGGGAAAGTGTCTCCTTAACTCTGCTGTCACACCAAAGCAATTTACAGGCCAAGACCATCTAGTCCTAGTTCAGGACAATTTCCCCATAAAACAGTTCATCACTTGCTAACCAGCTTCTTTCTTAGTTCCCAAACTTGATAACCAGCAGGAAAGTAAAATCATTTGTTGCTTTATTAGTTACATCCTGCTTTTCCTCCCAAATTAAAAGCAGCTGATAAATGGAGTCGAATTGGGGGGCAGAAGGATAGAGGTGGCAAGGAATTACTTCAAGTAAAACTGCATATGTATGTTACTATAATATCGCACTTACAGAAACATACCATTAACAGGGAATTGTTTTAAAGAGTCATCTGGTGCAGGGATGTTGGTGAAAGTTCACTCTTACTTAAATTTTTCAAGTCTTATTTCTATTATTCTTATCGACAAGTCTCTACTACATGGATCTATTTAAGCAACAACTCGCTTATTGTGAGGTCTGCGTAATACGCATTTGTGATATGACTTGCTAACTATTCAGTTAATGAGAAGGCATGCACTGCTGCTCTACAGTGCGTCATTCAACTTTTCTGAAAATTCACTCACTGTTATCACGTAAGAAACATTCCCTAGAAATAAATCAGTATAAACCTACCTTTCACGTACCCAACCCCTCACTATCGTAAATGCTTTTGCCTAACTAATAACCCAAATCACATTCTAATACATAATCTGACTCCAAGGTGATTTGCAAATGGCAACTAAACTAAGCATTTAAAATAAAAATAAAGAGCAAAGCTTTAGGCATGACTCACTTGCTGCAAAGAGGAATCCTGTGAGAAACCCGTTTCTTTAAAGTCAATTTCATCATCACTGGATGAATGAATATGGCAGGTTGTAACCTATATGCATAAAAATGTAAAAAACTATTTAACATAGGAAAGTTTTGGACATTTGCATCAGCATTTTTACGGAAAAAAAAAAAATCACATTTAGTTTTTGTCTCAATGTGTAACAGAAAAAAAAGTAACAGTTAAGTTGTCAAACCCACCCAACCAGCAAGGGCACGACACGCGGTTTGGCTTCCTGGCTTGCTGTGGCCCACTTCTGGTTCCTTCACTCCTCATCACCAGCATCACCAGGAATTAGATACAACAAGGAGCCGAGTCACTCCATTTAAGTGGTTACTTTAATAATTATTGCCAATTAAATGATTATAAGAAAGGCTGAAGTAATGGTGCAGATGAAATACGAAAATAGTTGATGATGTTTTAGGCCTATAAGGCAAAACTGCAATCCCCAGGGATTACTAATGAACCACTAAAAAGGTGGGGTTTAAATATAATAACTATTTCACTTAAATTTGAATTTCCTGCCCACACTAAGAAAAGCACTGTCCATAAACACTAACTTTGATTTTGAGTCAACAGTCGCTTGCTCATAAAGACCCCAGAATGCACAATCAACTCTCAGAAATTAAGGAAAAACAAATGTGCTCACCAACTCATGGATAAGTGATTTTTATTAATTCATAAAAGTCATACAAAATTAGGGGAAAATGTATTAACAATTAGAAATAAGATATACAAATGACTAAGTACAGAATTAATAATAGTAACTGCTATACAGCAAGTGGTAAATATGAACAGTCTATAAAATTCTAGAAATGATGAGCTATCTCTCCTGTATTTTTTGTAGAAGTGTTTTGGGCAGAGAATGACACTATGCTTAGCAGTAGACACCTGCCAACTCTTAAGACTATGTCTAACAGCCTGGAGTTAGAGACTGGCCTGGTCTGCTCTCAAAGTTGCTCTCACACTGGTTCAAGAAGCCCAGTGTACACTCCCACATAGGTCTGTAGGAAGAATGGCTTTTGAAATTCTCAGTAAATCAATGCCTAAAGATTACATTATTCCTTTTGCTTTGTCTGACCATCTTTGGTAAAAAGACACTAAGCCCAAGTGAAATGTAGCTGCAATAAGCTGATATCTGCAGTGACCTGGTCCCCTTCTCCCCAACCCTCCCAAAGGTATAAAACCCTCGAATTCCAACTGTTAGTCTGGCTTGATGAAATCAGAGGCAGAGTTTGCTGTCAACGAAGGGTGCCTGCCTGAGTCCACAGCAAGTTTAGTGAACAGCTGGGGAAACAGGACGGGATGGCCAGGAAAACCCAGCCCATGGTATGGGATGCTGCTTGGTCCAGGCAGCTGTCACCTACGGGACAATTGCAGTCAAGCAGACTCAGAGGCGCCTTGGGCGCATATCATGCTCAGCCAACGTGCAGTGAGAAGTGCAACTTCGTGGTGGAGCACAGAAACAGAACAACTCATAGAACAAGCCAGACGCACTGAAGGAGGAAGAACAAGACCACTGGCTGCTCCTAGCTGGGTCTTGTCTCAATGCAAGCAGGATGCAATACATCTTCATACTTGGATTTTTTTTTTTTTTAACCAGAAAACCAGAGTTCATCAGCTCACCAATTTAGATGAGGAAAGTTTTGCAGAACAACTACTAAGTGCCAGATCCAGTGACACCCTCACAGTTCTATTCACAAGATCTTCCCCAAGAGCAAACTAGTTTTCCTCAGCAAGTTACTCTTAGTTACAGCAACACTATGCACACACCTTTCTGTCATGTTGAGGGAGGGTGTGAGTCTACCTGAGCCATTCAGTTTGAATGTACTAACAGAATGACTGGAAAGACCACAGCTTACCTGGGGGAAAACTTGCTATGCAGAATCCTAAACAGTTCCCCCACTCAGCTCCCACATGACAGAGGTACTCAGCTGCACTGTGGGACCACACCTTCTGAGAAATCTCCATCTTAGCAAGTGCCACCTTTACTCCTCTTCTTGGCTAAAAATCTTTGGTCATGGTGTGTCCTGCAGCCACCCACATCTGCCCCCCACCTTCATGACATCTCTCACAATCCCTTCGCTCCTCAGCAAGCCCATTAACGTGAATGCAAGACAATTACAGTGAGTCCATTATCAGTGAACCACCATACCCACGCGTTGGATTAATGCTAACAAGCCAGTTGGCCAGTCTCCTGCTCCTAACTCTTTTCAACCAGCAATCACAGTGATCTTTTAAAAATGTACATCAAATCACATCACTTTTTAGTTCAAAATCTAATGGATTCTCATTTCATTAAGATAAAAAACCCAGGGCTGGGGTTGTGGCTCAGTGGTTGAGCGATTGCCTAGCACATGTGAGGCGCTGGTTTCGATCCACAGCACCACATGAAAAAACTAAATAAACAAAACAAAGGTATTGTGTCCATCTACAACTAAAATTTTTTAAAAAAGATAAAATCTCAGGTGTTTACTGTGGACAACAGGGTACACACATTCTGGCTGTTCAGTGCCTCTCTGGCCTCCTGTCTTCTATCTTCTCCCTTGGTGCTCTGATACCAGCGCATGGGCACTGGGAACCAGCAGTCTCTTGACCATCTATTTTCAACTGCACATCTGTCTAAATGTTCTCTAACTCCCTCTGTGTGTTTGCTCCTGAGCATTTGTCATCTGAAATATGCAGATGACACTGTGCACCTCACTCATTTCTTATCTATGTCTTTCAAAGCAGGGCCCTTGCCAATCTTCTTAGTACTGTTACCCTCCATGCCTGGCATGCAGAAGGCACTCAAACATTTTCTGAAGAACAGATATCAACAACCACTAATGAAAAAAAAAATACAACAAAAACCTAATGAGTGCCTAACACTCAGGCCACATTGACTGGAAGTGAAGTACCCACTTGCTGCTGCCATGCAAAGAGAGCTTCTGAGGTGTTGCCATCTTTCACGATAAAAATTTTAGCTTTATTAACTGTTAGAAGAAAAATTAAATAGGTGCCTTTCATGGGGACTGCCAAGGAAAACCCCAGCACGATGTGACAATGAAGCTCTGAGACCCATCAGTGAGCAGTGGGAGCTCAGACTCATCTCCTCACCACTCGAGTAGCCCCACTGCAGGCCCAGCATCTGCCCACCCCAAGGCTGGTGACACCAGCTCCTGCTTCCACTTGAACCTCCTGCCAGGCAAGTCACAGTATGTGCTCCAATCTCTCTACACCACCTCCACACACTGTCAACGATGGCAAAAAAAGGACTAATACTTTCCCCATTGGAGAGAAGCAGAGAGTGAAACTCAACTTTCTGAAGTTAGTAAAAAACTTCCTTCATTATCTATCTAAATCCTTGCCGATTTTTATAGCTTGGGGGCTTAGTAAAAACACTGAAGTTCTTGCATATAATTAAAACACAAAATTTACAGAAACCCCCCAACATAAAAACATAATGACAGTGTACGAATCTACCATGCACACATTTTGGCATGATGGGGTTGAAAGACTAAAGCACTTCAATTATCTCAGGGTTTAATTAAAATGTTGCAGTACAAGCAACCATAGCTGGGGGCTGATACAGCTACATAAGTGAAAAGGTCCTTGGGCCAGGACCCTGCATGACAGATAAGTATGCAGTATATAAATGAGTGCATCCTTTTTGTGAACAGAAAAATAAGAACCAGCCAGGGCAACATACCTATATATGAACTCAAGCTGAAATAAACGCCAGGCAGGTTGGTGAGCCATCCTAAAATCAACTAAGCAAAGGCAGTAGATGTGATCTATCTACTTGGAAAGAGACAGGGATAAGCAATCCACTACCCAACTGCCAAGTCCATGATGAACATGTTAGAAGGGCAAGTGCTTTTTTCACTACTTTCATGTGTGGGCATTCTCCTTGTTATTTTTCCTTGGGCAAGTAAAGCCTCCTGTATTTATCAAGTTGTATTTACAGTCTAATTCACAATACCTTATTTTCCCACAGTGCCCAACCCCACAAAGATAACAGCTAGAAAGCATTTTGGGCAAAAAACATAGTCTGGAGAAGGCAATTACAATGTCCTTAGTGACCTAGGATTAACACCTAGTTATCTTCAAACACTTGGAAGATCAGCAGCCCTTGAACAATACAAAGCAAAATTCCCTCCAGGAAGGACTTATGCTCTGGGACTAAAGAATTGAAGAGGTCTGGAGACCAACCTGTCTCAACAGACAGCAAGATCGGAGAGTGGGGCTAACTCATTACAGTGTCAGCAATGTAGCAGGGCTCCACAAATGTGACCCATCTGTTATACAGGCAACTTCTCCCTACTTCATTTTATGTTGAATATCTACATGTAGGCCAAGTATGATGCTGCAAAGGAGAACTATGCTCCAGTTTGAGTGGTGGATGGAGCTCACGGTGACCTTCCATCCAACACAGGTGTAAATGCCTGTGACTGATTGACTCAGAAGGGGCTGAACCTGTCCTGGGTGCTGTGGGTCTGTGCCCTCCATGGGGACATGCACGCATCTATATACTCACACGGCAGATTCACTGGCGACATGAGGGGTCGGAGTGTTGTCTGGACTACAATGAAGTCCTCCTTTACTACAGAACTGCTCACCAGAGGAATCTGCTGAGTCACCCAAGATGGAAGTCTTTTTAAAAAGCCTGATAACAAGTTAACTGGACACTTTTGACTTCTTCTTCTGAAGTAATTCAAAGGATACTTTTAAAAGAAAGAGTTTCCCAAACAAAATCAGAACATTTCTAAATATTCCTTTATCATAAGATAACAAGGAAAAAAAATCCCCTTAAAGGAGACTCCATTTAGCCTGCATTGTTAATAAGGAATTAATATGGGAACCTCTAAAATTAAATGGTTAATTTCACAGAACTGGAGGATAATTTTAATGTACAAAAAAAAAACCCTGACTACCTAGTACACACAGGTGATATTTTGGTAACTAGTCCAGCTTAAATTATTTGAATCAATTTGATTACTGAAAGGAACCCAAAACTAACTAAAATGGTAATACAATTACAAAAATGCCTTAACCTTTACTTGACAACCCACAGAGTATCAGCATGAACGTTTAGTTTCTCTGATGGGATGCAGCTCCCATAGAAACACCAAGCCCTTGGGCTCATTTTAATTAAATGGTCCCACAAAGCTCTCTTTCTATAGTGAGGTCTACTTCATAACTCTTACAACTTTTCATACTTCCTAATTCTACCACTATATCCACCTTAAAAAGCAATTACCCTACCACTGTCAAGTCTGGAAAAGGCTAACCAGATCTGTCAGGCAGTCCACTGAGTCAGAGGCACAGACCCCTGAGGGAGTGTGGCCCCAGATGGGTCAGCTCGTGGCTGCTCAGCTACTTTCAGAGCTGCTTCCCTCTTGTCTTTCAGTTATGTTCTCAACAGACAGGGCTACCAGATACTTGAAAAGCTAACAGTTCAGGTGTTATTATATTCTAGAAATTTAAGAATACACCTGAATTTCAAATGACAAATTAAATGCTGGACAGCACTACTCCTAGGTCAAGGCTGCCACCTCATCAGTTGGCAGATGCTTACAAAAGAAAATGCTTTAGTTATCTTTAAAAGCAAAAACAAAGCAATACTTACCTTAAAAATTAATGCATTAAAAAAACAAAAATACATTCCAAAGTCCAATATAATTTTTAAGAAATTATCAGTGCCATTATTCCCTGGCTATAAAGTACCAATTCTGTTAAGGGTTTTAGTGCTAGAGTTTCAAAGTCATGTACAAAATTTTCCCCCACTGGGAATTACCAAAAATGAGAGTAAACTCAGTAACATTAGAAAACACCCACAGGAATATTTAGGATTTCTAAGCACCAAGGTTACCTGAAACAAGACACAAACCCCACAGAATAAAAGGCAGAGGCTGCTATTGAGGTGCCTAGGGAGCAGGGTATGGAAGGAAATGATGATAAGTAGAAACTGGTGGCTTTTTAGAGCCTTTTTGTCATCCAAAGCAGGTAATTAGGAGCCAACTAGACAATGAGCAAGAAATACTGACTTCTGTTCCAAAGAGAGAGATATATACTCATCTGTGGCCTGTGCTTACTGGGCCAAATGGAAGATCTTTTACATTTTTCTGAATAAATGGGAAAGACTTAAGAGCACTAAGAACAAATAGAAATGCAACCTTGTAAAACGTACTAGATCTACCGTGTTCCTCTTGTTTGTTTCTCCTAAGGAGCTTGTGCAGAATGTCTCCCATCGCTCCCTGACATCATCGGGAAGATCTTTGGAGTGAGAAAAGAAGAAAAGCATTATCAGTACAATGACCCATAGGATGGGAGAGGACAATCATGCCGACTTCCCAACCCTGGGACCCGACTAGCTTCTCAAACTGTGCCTAGATAATGTCTTCTAAGACAAAGTGTGCCTCTGAGCTAACATGTGAATGCATTTACAATGGAAAAATTCAACCCTCTAGAGAAGTTTTAGAGAAAAGGATATACAACTACTTTTCAGATAAAACAAAACCATGGCTATGATTTGGAGGTCTAACTACACTAAGCGGGTCATCTGACAATTCTGGTTTACCCACCCACCCACAGATGCATACTCACACAGGCACAAGACATATCACTCAGCCACAACTTCCCTGAAAATAATCTAGAACACTTAATTGCATGACATTTCTCCTTGGTAAGGGCATAAACTATGAGAAGGAACGGATTCATTACTGGGTGACAACTTTTAGCGCACATGCAATAGGCAATAGCCTCTTGAACAAATATTTGTAAGAGAAAAACAGGATACACTGGGAGGCACAATTTTGCAGCTCACTCTGAAGTAACTGTTTCAGAGACATCACATGTCACATATTCAGTGAAGTCTCAGAGTACTGCTCCTGGGACAGAAGCCCAGAGTCCACAGAGTCCTGAGGTTCCCTTTCTGAAGAGGATTCAGGGCCTGGGTTCCCATTAAAAGGCATTTGCAGTTAATTTCAAGTTAATTGCAAGCTGATTAAATTTACATGGTAGGGGGGGGGAAGTGTCCTTTAGGAACCAAGACCCCTCATTTTAAAGATGGAGATATGGAAGAAATACTGACAAATGCCTTAGTATCCCAGTTAAAGGAATTTAAAGCATAGGTGAGACAGAGGTCTTCAAAATAAGTTGGGGGGACCTCAAAATATTCTAAAGTTTAAACAATTTAGTGAGCAATGTTTAACCACAACAATGGGTACACTTCCAGCATGCTGAAGCCAGCCAGCACCTACTAGAAGGATGGCAGAAATCTGAACAGAAGAACAGTGAAGACCCACATTCAAATCTCCCAATCTGTAACACATGAAGAAACTCCACAAACAGCTATTAAAAATGCTACCAAGTACTTCTATTTACCCTTGATCCCACAAAGATGTAACCCAAATTGCGAGAACTCACCTTTGATGAGCTGCTGCACGGCAGCACTATTGGGACCCTTGTCAGCACTGTGCACGATACAGTTGGCTATCCTCGTGAGGTGTCCCATGTAACCGTGCCGTCTTCCTCCCTCGGCCCTGACAAGGGGAAGGACAAATGTTCATATTCCACACGTGACAGACACTTGGTGAATACTGTGAACAGGGCACCAAAGAGAATGACAATGGATAGAAAAAGGAGGAGAAACCAAGGAGTGGAGGGTGCCAGAGTGTCCCTGAGCAGCAAGGCCAGGAGGCCTGAACCACTCTCTGGAAGAACAGACGCAACCTCAAGACAGCAGTCTCCTCAAAATATACAAAACAATCACTAATTATAGTCTCTTAAACGTACCTCTCACTGATGTCTAATGTAAAAGTAAAGAATGGAGGGAAGAATTTTGCTGGTTTTCCTAAAAGACATCAAATTTTAGTCTTATCAGTTGACAGAAATAATTATCTACCAGTAGCACTCCTCAAGGTAAGACCTGGAGATCTGAAGGGTTGGCCAAGACAGGCAGTGAATCTGCACTTGCCAATAAACCACTTTGAACATGGGCATATAAACCTAGTCCTCCTTCCTTTTTATTCCCCCCCCGTGGGGGGGGGTGTCTAATCCTCCCAACCATGATCCATCTTTACATTTAGACAAACTTTTCACATCACTATAACTTTTCTGTCTCTTTACAAAGTATCAAGACTTTAAACTCTATGAAAGATTTTATTTTTCTTTTTTATTACAGATAGTGGGGTACAAACTGAAGCGATTTTTCCTAAGGGAGAAAAACCTTTCAGAAGCCACTGAAAATTCATCCTATGCTTGGAGGCTGGCCTAGGAAAAAAATGTATCTGCTGGAAAATCTTAAATGGCCTGGGGTCACCTAATGCTCACAACCCCTAAGGCTGACCTCAATATGCTAAGAGTTTCTTTTACTTCCACAATAAGAATCACACACTCCAGCATGAGCAACTTAGCAAAACCCTGGCTCAAAGCAAAAAGGGCTGGGCATGTGGTAGAGCAGGGCATGTGGTAGAGCACACAGTACAGGGAAAAAAGAAGATCCAGAAACCCAAGGGCTCTTATGGACAGCCCACAGGTGAGAACAAAGGCCCATCTCTGCAAGGCTTTAGACAGGGGCTTCCAAAGTGTTCCAAGCCTCTGGTGTAAGGACACATCTGCTTCAGGACACCTTTAAGTGGGGGCAACACTTTCAGATGGCCTTCAGAGGATGGGCTCACAGGGAGACGGAGTACACAGGATACTTAGGTGCTTGCGGTGAAGAGAGAATGGAAGGTTAGGAAGGGCACGGAGGAGCCAAGATGGGCTCCGAGATGGGGTTGGATGTCAAATGGGCCACACATAGGACTCCCAAAAGGAGCTCTGTTTGGAATAATGTGTCTGACATTTACCCATACTAGCCCCTTGCCACACAAACTAAAAGCCAATCTCCCACACAGAGTCAAATCAAACCCCTGTTAGTGCTTATGAATTCTTAAGTTAATCTTCAAAATTAAACCTCACAAAGTAAAGCTGACATCTGTCATGAGGCACCTAGCTCTCCTGGGGATACAGACAAATCTAAGTAGAGATTACGCAGCAAGAAAACTCCCTAGAGAGAATCAACTTTAAAGGGCTACAAGACAGCTTTCTGGGGAGATGGGAACATTCTGTCTTGACCATGGTGGTTGTTATGTGACTTCATGCCTCAGTCACAATTTCTAGGACTGTACACCTAAAAAGGATGAAATCTTGCCACATGAAAATTTTACCTAAATAAACCTGACTGAAAAACAAGCACAATCTCTTCAAAAAGTGATGCTGGGAAAACTGGTGATTCACATGCAGAAGAATGAAAGTAGATGCCTCTTAAAATCAACTAAAAATGTACCGAAGACCTAAATGCAAGACCTGAAACTAAAACTGCTAGAAAAAAATATAAGGGAAACACTTTGAGACATTGGGCTGGACAAAAGTTTGCAGGTAAGACCTGCACAGCAGTGGTAACAAAAGCAATAAAAGATAAATGGAAGCTGGACAACAAAGCAAAGAATGAACAGAGCGAAGAGACAGAATGGAAGAAAATCCTTAGAAGCTAGTCAGTCACAAAGTGATTAATATCTACTATATTTAAGGAACTCAAGGGCAAAACAATCTGATTTAAAATTGGGCAAACTCAGTGGCACAGCACTTTCCCAGCATATTCAAGGCCCTGGGTTCCATGCCCAGCACTGGGGAAAAACGGGGGTGGGGGGTGGGGTGGGGGGGTGGCGGGCGGGCCAAACGATCTCAACAGACATCTCTTAATACACACACAAATGGCCACAGACACAGGGAAAAAAAACCTCAACATTGCCAGTCATCAGGAAAATGCAAATCAAAACCAGAAGGAGATACTACTATCTCACCCCAGTGAGGGAGCTACCATCAAAAACACACAAATAAACGCCAGCAATCATGAGGAAAAAGGCAAAATGTATTTCGGCAGGTGGTGGGAACATAAATTAGTGGAACCACTAGCAAAATAGCAGAGAAGGTCCTTGAAAAATGACAAGTAGAAATTCCATAGGATTCCGTAATCCCATTACCGGGACTCTACCAAAAATAGATGAAATGAGGCTGTGGAAGAGATGCCTCCACTTCCATATTTCTTGGAGTTCCGTTCACACAGACAAGATGTCTCTCAGCAGATAAATGAATAAAGAAAAGATGATATATACACACACACAATGAGAAGAATCAAATCCTGTCATCTGTGGCAATGTGGATGAAATTGGAGCCATGATCTTAAAAGTGAAATAAGTCAGGCACAGAAAGACAAATACTGTATGTTCTCACACATGTGGGAGCTAAAAAAAGACAATCTCAAACAAGAGTCAAACAGTGGCCACAAGAGGCCAGGAAAGGGAACAGGAAGAGGGCAGAGAGAGTGAACCCTGGTATGCTACAGCACACAGCAGAGTAACTATAACTTATCACGTTTCTCAAAATAACCAGAAGAAATGGAGTTCTGAGATTCCCAGCATAAATAAATGCTGATCACCCCTAATTTGATCTTCACACATACATGCAAATTATCACATAGTAATCCATTAATACATACAACTATTTTAAAACACACACACACACACACACACACACGAAGTGCATCTAAAAGAGTGTTTCACAAACCTGCCCTATGCTAGTTGCTTCAGAGCTCCCAGAGCATCAGAGGAATGCCTACTACAGACACGGCTACTATGACAGAGATGCGTACACATATCAACTAACATTTCACATAGCCTTGTAATTAGCAAAAAATTTTCTAGAAAAAAACTATTAAGCAATTTCCTCTCTTTAGTTCCATGTACCCAGGAACTGAACTCTACAGTGAGAATGGGAACCTGATGTACTGAGTTGAGGTAAGACAAACATGCTAAGCTAACCACCATCAAGAAGGACGTGACTTCATGACTCTTCATCATTCAATTCCACGTTATTCTAAAAAAAAAAAAAAAAATATAGACTTCCAAAAAGGCCTAGGGGTTCCAAAGGCAACACAAACATTTCTACTAAGGAGGAGGAGAAGGGGGCAGGAGTGGGGGAATACAAACATATGTTATCTGTTACAAATGTAAGTTATTTCATCTTTCTTTAAGGAGGGCAGGGTGTGTGTATGGGGGGGGGGGTCCTTCAAATTCTAAATCAAACAATCCTTTCTGAAAAAAATTTACTTACTGTTTCTTCTCATTCATTTCCCAGGCTTCAAGTATTCGTTCTATTAATTGGCATTTTTGGAAGAGCTAAAAAAAAAAAAAAAAAAAAGAAAGAAAAAGAATATTCTAGTTAGCATTTACTTAAATGTCAAAACATAGAAACTTTACAGTAAAATAGATCACTAGTTGGACAGAACAGGGGTGTGTGCATGGGCAGCAAGTTTTACAAGTAACTGGCCAACACACATACAACCAGGGGACAAGTTTGCCTCAGACCCTCAGAATACTGCAGGAATCAACAGGACCCATGCCCCCAAGAGTGTGTACTGGGAAACACACTGCCACAGGGCTGTCCCAAGTGAGCAAACCCTGTGACCTAAGGCAAACACAAGATATGGTAGCTGGGAAAATTCGGTCAAAAATACAGAGCCTGACCAAAATTAAAATGAAATTAGAAGTATGGTTTTTAACTCAGAATCTAAACCAATATGTGTACTTTTAAAATTTGAGCTACACTAACTCCATGTGTACAGAAGTTATCGTACAGATATTAAAAACAGGCATGTCTTATCAAAACCTTGCACGTCAATGTCAGCTACTGTGAGCTCATCAGTGGATGTGCAAGGCCAGCTTCATTCAGATGGTGCTCCAGCTGCCCAGTACTTGGCTATTTCCAGCTAGTCTTTCCTATCTTCCAGGTTTGAGAGTAACCCAAGGATGAGCTAGAAACCTTCATGAAACCACAGAACTTCAGAAGAAATCTGAGACTAACCAGTAAAATCACCATATATTTTACAGAGCAGAGACCTCAAGAAAATTCTCACTCAACATCACAGAACTTGCCTTGCCAAACTTTCAGGCCTGTGTTCAGCATCAGAAACCAAACTCTTTTTTTTTTTAAAAAGTATATATATATTTTTAGTTGTTGATAGACCTTCATCTTATTTATTTATATATGGTGCTGAGAATCAAACCCATTGCCTCACACATGCCAGGTAAGTGCACTATGGCTGAGCCACAGTCCCAGCCCCAGAAACCAAACTCTCAATGCCAAGAATTTAGAAGTTCTCTGAAGTATTTACATTTCTATTTTTTTTTTAATCTCCAAAGGATGGATAATGGATGGATGAAGGGATATAAAACACACACACACACACATATATACACACTTATGTTAAATATTAAAATATAACTAAATATATAATATTTTATTGATTGATTGATTATGGCACCAGGGATTGAATCCGGGGACATTTAACCACTGAGCCATATCGCTAGCCCTTTAATTAATAATATTTTGAGACAGGGTCTCATTAAGTTGCTGAAGCTGGCTTTGAACTTGTGATCCTCCTGCTTCAGCCTCTTAAGCCACTGGGATTACAGGTGTGCACCACTGCACCTAGCATCCAAAAGATATATTTTAAAAACTCAGTTTTACCAAAAAAACAGGCCAACTTAGATATTTTTTCTTTAAAAGTTCATCTAATGACTTTTTATCATTTATTAGAAGTGAATGAACACATGACAGTGAAATCTAAATAAAATCTGTTCTTAAATCTCAATATGTTACATACTAAAGTGCTATACTGCAATAAGGAGAAAACAGTGGAAGTTAAAGAAAACCAAATAAGCTCACGTGTTTCAATAACAAATTGTCACCAGTGGAGTCCTGATCAGTAATTGTGCCATCTTCTGTGTTTTCAAAAGGACTGGCAAGAATCAGTGCAATACAAATTTCCACTTGTGTATGCAAGAAGTTATTCCAAGTATATTTGAAGAACATGTCCTACAAAAGAAAAAACAGTGTTTTCTTTAGTTACCACAATGTTTAAACAACCTCTTTGATTCAGAACAGTGATTTATTAAGGAAAAACGGTGCTCCTTGGTCCAATTACTAGGAATAGGACACATTTGTTTTCAAGTGGTTTGAGATGCTACTCAATAGCATAAACAATGTATTTGTTCATGCAACATGCCAAAATTTGCATGGAATCTAACACAATTCAACAATAAGCATATGAAGAAAAGATAGTAATAAATTTCTCAGAGAATTAAGTACTTTGTATTCAAAGCAACTAATGCAGACATAAGTTCAGAAAATTTTCAGAGAGATTTATAAGAATTTCATTTTGATCCAACAAGTATTTATTGGTGCTTTTGTGCATCACACCATGTCAAGTATAATAACTCCCAGAACTGTAGCAAAACTATGAGAGGTGGCAGCATGTGATCTTCCCAAAAGCAAAAGGGTTTTCCAAATTACCCTTGAGGTTAGTATTGGAAAAGGCAAAACTATCACAGAAGAAAAGACAATTTCTATAAGCACAAAATGTATTTACAATATAATTGAATTTAACTATTTCAATATGAAAACATAGGCTTAGTGACACATCTAGAAGACTTTATGTTCTATAGTAATATGTCACTTAATCAGTTTCGAAAACATCTCAGTGGCCCTAGGAAGTACAGTGGCATGGTTGATGGTATGTATTGGATTGCCACTGGGTGACTTCAGCCTTGGCCTTACCACTCAGTACCCACGGAAGGTATGCCCTCTCTGGGTATGATCTGAAAAACAGATAACTCCCTCATATTCAGGAGCTTTTATACCTGGTAGCATATGAAAGTATAAGGTACATGTTATAACGCCAATCTTGTAGTGAGCAAATATCTCATTTGGAACATCCCCCCAAATCTGCTAAATGTATGCTATGACCAGATACCTTGTGAAACCTGCTAAGTGTTAACCCTCATGACTCCTGTACTGTGTGTGGGTAGCAGAATGGACAGAACAAACACAGGCTCTGGAGCTGGGCTGTGCATTCTAAGCTCAAACCATGGCCTGGGAAGCCCAGATCACTCCTGAGGTTTTCCTCCTCCTTTCCACTGATGAGCAGATTAACAGCTGTCTCAGAGGAGATTAACAATTATCTCAAGCTAAAAGACCTTATGGCCTTGGATCCATGAGATATACCCCAATGTAAAGGAGATGAAGGCTCATCCTTTTGCAAATTTTGAACAGAAACCAGTGGTACAATTGGCAGGCATGATTTGTATGAGACCAGGCTGCTGGGGAGGGCCTAGTCATCTTTGGAAGGCTGTATCATACAGTTCTTCACACAGCAACAATAAGTGACTCTTCAACAATCAGCAACATCCAAAATTTTTTATAAGACTTAGAAAGTCATTGATATATACTGTCAATTTGTAATGCTGAGTTATAGATTCATGAACATCAAGGGCGATTCAAATCTCTGTGAGGAAGAATCTTACCAATATGACTCCAATGCTGTTCAGTTCCATAAGGTCCCCATTTATACTGCTGGTATTGGTTTGCAGCAGGCTAGATATCAACCTAATCACATTCAGCCGAGTGTTCCCCACGGGAGGATCCAGTACACCCCAGGTAGTCTTCATCACACTTTTCTGAGGAAGAAAAGGTTTCCAATCAAATTCAGTTAAAGAAAAAAAAAAAAAAAACGAGCAAAAGGTCTACATGCTGAGACACACACAGTTAACCCCACAATCAATTTAAACTAAATTCTATGCTTAGGAGAAAATAAGCCACTGTTCATAGCTTTAACAGATGATGAAATAATCAAGCAATTTCCCTGAACTATAAATTTCTTTTTCTTTTTTTTTTTTTTAAAGAGAGAGAGATTTTTTTTTTAAATATTTATTTTCTTTTTAGTTTTCAGCAGATACAACACCTTTGTTTGTATGTGGTGCTGAGGATCAAACTCTCACGCATGCCTAGCACACATGCCAGGCGAGCGCCCTACCGCTTGAGCCACATCCCCAGCCCTGAACTATAAATTTCTAAAAAATCAAGTGTACCCCTACCAATATTCCAATCTGTCATGAGCAGAAAACATATAGAACAAACAAAAACAAAACTAGAATATTTCAAATTCAGACCAGAAATCTAAGAAACTAAAAAGAGTTTACAAGTGCTTTTGGAACATAGTCCTTAGTCTATATCAAATCCATGATAAAATACATGCCTCTGTGTCATAAACCTGAAACATGACTAACCTAAACTTGTCTTTGTCCATCAAGGAGATTTCTATAGTTTGAAATTACTAAAGACAGAAGCAATGGGGGCTGGAGCTGTAGATCAGTGGCAGAGTGCTTGCCTAGCATGCATGAGGCCTTGGATTTGATCCTTAGCACCACACAAAAACAAACAAATAAAATAAAGGCATGCTCTCCATCTACAACTCCAAAAAAAAAAAAAAAAGACAGAAGCAGAATGTTAGAAGTCTGATGAGAAGAGTGACAAATGGCACTCTTGGCAGCCACAATGCCCCTTCTGAAGGTCCATCAACAAGACCAGTAGATGTCTCACTCCCTTCTCCAGAGGGAATTGTAAGGTTAACTAACAAAGCTTCATTGTGACTGAGTGCAAGTCAGTGGTGGAGCCTTTGCCTAATGTGTGAGATAGTGGGCGGAGCCACTGCCTAGCACTGTGTGCTCACAGCAATGATGAAAGCAAAACCCCCAAGGCCTGCTCACACTCCTCATGGTTTAACAAAATCAGGTCAGCTGCTCAGTCCTGAAGTAAAAGAGAAGCTGCAACACAATGCACCTCAGTCTTGAATTTGAAGGCCAAGAACCATCAAATGCTGCCTACTTGTCCACCTAGGGAGAAGCTAGGGGCCACCTAGGAAACAGGCCAGGTCCTTCACCACATACCTCTTCTCTCTGCTCCTTCCCCTGCCTCCATCTCCCCTTTGTACGTTCTCCTCTCCTAAACCCTCTTCTTTCTTTACTTTCCTTTTCTTGTTCCTAGGACTGACTTGAGGGATGCCACTGACTATTAAGCACCAATAGAAGCTCTTTCCACAAGAGTGAGTGAGTGCCCACACTATGGTCTACAGCCAACACAGGCTGAATGCAGATGTGCTGAGGTGGCTGCAATGGCTGAAACGGCCCAGCAGGATTCCACAAAGTCTAAGTGCCAAGGGGAAACTCCTAATTTTCAATGACAGCACTAGAGAACATCTGAAGAGACAATCCAGATGCTGGACTAGAGAGTATGGACACACCTATTCTGTGCTTCCCCTTTCCCCAAATAGTTAAACCGAAATCATGTTATATAGAACCGAGAAACCAGTATCCTAAAATTGCAATAACCCACATAAAAGACAGCCGTGGAGATACACACTGTACAGTATAGTGGATCCAAACATACAGGGCAAAAGGAAGGAGGAATGTGGGAGAACTAGTGCAGAAACAGGACTCTCACAAGACAGAATACTTTATCTGACTTCAGAAGTAAACGCTTCTTACCCTAATCTAAATCTGTGGCCCACTCCAAGAGGCACGGTGTGGACAGGAGGGACATCACTTGGCCTGCTGATACCCTACCAAAGTTCTCCACTGGGTATTGTAGAACGCCACACACATACCGCTGATGTCCTCCTTTGCAGGTTGACTTGTCCACACTCTTAGACTCGCACACACATGGTCCCTCCTGAAAACTTCACACCCGGGTCCCATGCTTTCCATGCCGCGCACCGAAACTTCAACCCACTATTTCTTAAACAAGTTCATTTGTTCCCAACTGTCTCCACTATTCACAAGAAAATGCAATTTCAAAGATCAGAGCCTGAAAATTTAACTTTACCTCAGGATGTGAAAAGAACATGCTATAAGAAGAAAATCGCTTATTTTATTGGAACATAAGGATCCAAGAATTTATAGACAGAACAAAAATCTGAGTTTCCTAAGCAGACAAGTATTCAGTTCAATTTCTATTTCAATCACCAATTTAGACAATCTATATAGTAAAAGCCAATTAAAAATGAGTGTGGGAGCAGAAGGACTGGCAACACATCTTTGAACCTATCTTGCATGTGCTGATCACAGCCCGTCCCGTGACTCCCAGGGAGCACACTCTGCAATGACCCAACTGCTGGCTAGCCAGCCATGCTTCGGACGGATCACCTACCTTGGGTGGCTCAAGCAGGAGTTCATGAAAAGATCTAAGTCTTCCTCTGATGGCTTCTAGAACACTCTTGTTGACTGAACAAGCTGAATGACTCATGCCTGGTGGGCAGATCTCTATATGGCCTTCAAATCTTGAAACAAAGCAAGGTTTCTTTAGTTATTACAATTTCAGGATAGATCCTTTAAGGTGCTCCCTATACCCATGTAGGCAAACACTTAATGACTACATAATTACATGATAATGATGACATCAATGTCTCTGGCTACAAGGAGAAGGGACAGTAAGCTAGAAAGTGCAGTAAAATGAAAGAGGGTATATTAAAACTTTGTTGAGGATCAGCCAATGTGACCTGAAACACAAAAAGGGCTACTGATCTAGTGAGAGATGTGATTTCTCCACATTCTCCTAAACCTTGTAACTCCTATGACTTACATTGATAGCTTTGTCATTAAGCGACAAGAAAATCTGGAAAGCAAACAGCAATCAGATCCCTGAAATATAGGGGACATCATATTGCCCACTAGTTTGAGATGTTTGTTAACAAACAGACCTGTACTTGCTTGGGTCATCAACTCTGTGAACTACTTAAAAGATTAAAATTGCTCTTTTACGTGGAAAAAAAAAAATGAATTGACAGTCATTATGACCCTCTGGAATTAACTCCAAAATCCCAACTAGTTTAACTAAATTGCCAGAAGTCAAGATTGGGTTGAGCAGGGATGCACCCCCTGGTGGTCCAAGGACAGAGTTCCAGGAGAGGAGGGAAGACAGCAGGAGTAAATGAAAATGGGAGTGTGAAGTTCAAACAAAAGGGTAGACCTGAACATGGCGTGCCGACTCCATAACAGTGAAAACAGCAGGTTAACAATGCCACCGCTGCTGCAAGGCGGCCTGTGGCCAAGTTCACCTCTTCACTTACCAGTTATTTTGTGTAATGTGGACAATGGAATCACACTAGAACATCTCTCCCAGGACTGCTATGAGAAGCATGAGAACCCAAGGGCTGAGAGCACTGCCGAGTACAGAGCCAGCACCCCATGTGAATCTGCTATTGCTACTGATGTGGGAAAAGAGTCCCTGGACAGCAATTCTTAGCCAGAGAGCCACATAGAACAGCTTCTGAACCTGAACTACTAGGAAAGGGGGAACAGAGACGCCCTCTGATTTTTATTATAGTTATTTTTTTTAAAGAATTTTAATATTTATTTTTTAGTATTTGGCAGACACAACATCTTTGTTTGTATGTGGTGCTGAGGATCGAACCCGGGCCGCACGCATGCCAGGCGAGCGCGCTACCGCTTGAGCCACATCCCCAGCTCCTATAGTTATTTTTTAACATGTAAGAGTCTTAGTAATTTATATAACCAAATATGGCTTTCATTATAGTTTCTACCTAGGGTGATGTCCAAAAGTCCTTTATAACCCCATAATTCTGTGAATAATTTTTTCTTCTAAATTTACTTTTGTATAGAATAACAGGAACAGGTATGTTTGCTTTCCTTCCATTTTCTTAGCCATATTTCTAGAACAACTGTCCTCTCCTTGTTTACATAAAAGAAACATTAAGCTACACACTATTCCTTAATCATTCATATAAGTTTTATTCATCCAATTAGTAAATATTGAGCATTAATTTATGTACCAGCCCTGACCTGCATGCTATTATAGTCAGTGTCTACAGTGCTCTTACAACACTTAGGCTAGTCTCCTGCGGACTTTCCATTGTAACAATGGTTCATTTTTAACGTGGAGTAGGTACTTGGGTGACGTACTGCAATATATCTGTCTACAGGAAATGGGAAATATTTTTACAAACTGGCTGTATCACTCTCTGCAGGCCCAACAATGAGGTGTGAGACTTCAGCTGCTCCACAGTGTTACCAGCATCGAGCACTGCCCACTTCCTTCCAATGGCTATTTTAGCCGCAAAGGGCTGCAAGATGGCTCCTGAAGTGGAATATCCACATTTTAGTTGTCAGAGCCTGTGAACACCACCTTAGTAGAAAAGGGCCTTTGAAGAGGTGATCAATGGAGGCTGTTGAGAAGAGAGTACTAGATTCTGCAGGGGGATTAAATGTCATCCCAAGCGTCCTTCTAGAAGAGAAGGCAATACGAGGGTAGGCAGTGACCAGAGGCCAAGCAGTACCAAGAGTCACTAGAAGATGGGAGAGGCAAGGAATGGTCTCTCTCAGCACCACCAGGTAATGCATCCCTGCTCAACCCAATCTTGACTTCTGGCAATCAGAACTGTGACAGAATAAATTATTGTTGTTAAAAGCCACAAAGTGTGAGGGCATTTGTTTACAGCCACAGGAAACATACCTTCTTCAAAGGGTATGCATGGTATCTCAATGTGTTTTAACTCGGATCTCATAAATGACAAAGGATGTTGATCAATTTTCATGTATTTATTTATGTGCGTGCGTGTGTGTGTGTGTGTGTGTATACACAGACACACACACCTCTCTCTCTCTCTATATATATATATCTTTTATTTTTTTTCAATTTTTAGTTGTCAATGGATCTTTTGTTTGTTTATATGTGGTGCTGAGGATTGAACCCAGGGCCTCACACATGCCAGGCAAACAATCTACCACAGGCCATGACTCCAGCGATGCCTTTTATTCTTTAGCTCTCTATTCACGTCTTTTTTATCTTTTGATGGGGGAACTGGGGATTAAATCCAGGGATGTTCTACCACTGAGTTACATTCTCAGTCCTTTTCTTTGGGGAGAGGATTTTGCTAAATTGCTGGGGCTGGTCTTGAACTTGTGATCCTCCTGCCTTAGTCTCCTGAATCTCTGGATTACATAGGCATATGCACCACAGAAACTGGCTCTGCTCAATTCTTCTGACCTTAAAATTTGGTTGTTTTCTTGTTGTTAAAGACACACACACTCTATATGGTTTTTTATTGTTCTAGATATAAGTTCTTTCTCACACATCTACTCTGTAAATATTTTCTGGCAACCTGTCTTATTTTCCAAAGAGTAGAATTACTTTTTTTTTTTTTTTAAAGTAGACTGTTATTAATGTTTTTCTTTGGTTTTTTTTTTTTTTTTTTTTAATGCTGGGGAATGAACCCAGGGCCCTGGGTGTGCCTAATGAGCCCTACCACTAAGCTGTACCTCCAGCCCAACTTTTCTTAAAACTTTTTCTATTGTTGCTGTTGCTCCAATTAGTTATATATGATAGTAGGATGCATCTTGAACCATCATACATAAATGGATGATGACTTCTCATTTGTCTGGTTGTATGTGATGTTGAGTAACACAGGTCATGTAGAATGAATCAGACATTATCACCCTATCATTCTTATCCCCAGGGCCCCTCCCCTCCCTTTTCTTCTGGAACTTTTATAGTTTTAGTATTAATGTTTAGTTCCAGAATCCACTTTAAGTTCATTCTTCATAATCCATAAGGAACCTACAGAGGTCCAACCTTTTTGCACATGGACATCCAATAGTTCTATGAACATCTCTTGAAGATGCTACCTTTTCTTCATTGAACTACCTCCACACCTGTCACAAATCCCACCTGTGCAGGTCTCCCTCTGCACTCTAGGTTCTGTTTCAGTAGTCTGTCTATTCTTTTACCACCAGATCCTAGCTTCATGATAATCCCTGAAGCCACAGAGCATAAGCCTTCCAATGTTGTCTTTCTCTTGCAACATTGTTTTGTGTCTATTGTATTTGCTTTGGATCTCCATATAAATTTTAAAATCAGCTTGAATTTAAAGTCCTCATTTAGATTTGGATTGAAACGGCAACAAATCTACAAGTATGTTTGGGGAGAACTGGCACCTTAACAAACACTGAATGCTTTAATACATGAACATAGTATTTCTATTTATGTCAGCTTTGATTTCATCAATGTTGCCATTTTCAGCATTAAACTAAATGTACATTTTGTCTGGGTCTATTTTTTTGAAATTTCACATTCCAATTATTCACTGCTAGTAACCAGAAATAAAAGTACATTTTTAATATTGACTTTTGTATTCTGCAATCTTGTTAAATATACTTGTTAGATCTAAGAGGATTTGGGGGGCTGGGGTTGTGGCTCAGTGGAAGAGAGCTCTCCTAGCATGTGCAAGGCACCGGGATCCTCAGCACCACATAAAAATAAATAAATAAATGAATGAATGAATGAATGAATGAATGAATAAATAAATAAATTTTAAAAATAAAGGTATTGTGTCTAACTACAACTAAAAACAAATATTAAAAATAAAAAAAGATCTAAGAGGATTTTGTTTGGGTTTGGGACATTCTTCAGGATTTTTACAAAGACAACACCTGTGACAGTTTTACATTGTCTCTTCCAATCTGGATGAGTTTCCTCTCTGGCCTTCCACACTGGCTAGGGTCTACTGTAAGCAGCTGAGCAGACATCCCAGCAGTGAGTATCCTGGCTCTGGCTCCCAATTTGGAGGAAAAGCTTTTCAGTCTCTGACCATTAAGCCAGGCGCGGTGGCACACGCCTGTAATCACAGTGGCCCAGGATATGGATTATGACTTCTCATAATCCATATTATGACAGGAGGACCGAGTTCAATTCGAGCCTCAGCAACAGCAAGGTGCTAATAAACAAATTAGTGAAACCCTATCTCTAATACAAAATAGAGCTGGGGATGTGGCTCAGTGGTCAAGTGCCCCTGAGTTCAATCCCCAGTCCCCACCCCCCACAAAGGCTACCAATGGAGTTCTCATAGAAGGGCTTTATCAGTTTTATTAGTTTGTTGATGTTTGAAGGACACAAGAACCGTGCATTCCCAAGATACACTGATCTTGAGTATCATACTTCCAATACATTGTTAGACTGTTAGATTTGACTTGCTGGTATTTCTTGAGGAATTCTGCATCTAAGCTCTTGTGGAATCTTGTTGTACACTTTTCTTTCCTATATTGTTTTTGTTGAGCTTCAGAGTGGTGCTGTCTTTATAACCTGAGTTGGAAAGTGTTCCCTCTTCTACATTCTGGTGAAATCCTTACATCTTTGGTAGAACTCATCAATGGAGCCTTTCTAGTTGAGTAGGAAATTTTTTGTTGAAGGTTTGAACAATGAATTCAGTTTCTAACAGATATGGGACTATTAATACCACCTACTTCTTTTTTGGTGATACATGTA